CGGGAGGGCCTGCAGGAGCGAGGCTTCTCCCAGGCCTGCTAGCTCCCTGCCTCGGTTCCCTCTGTCGACAGCTCTGTGTCCGCCTCCCTCCTCTCGGGGCCCAGGTTTGGCTCCTTCTCACTCAAGGCTCTCTCCCAGAATCTGTGTCTCTGCGGGCGTGGGGAGGAGGGGACCCTAAAGCACAGGGCATCTGTCTGCGTCTCCGCCCGGCTGTGTCTGTCTGTCTCCTGGTTGTCTACGTTTTCTTTTCTGTATCTTGCTTTGTCTGGGTGTCTTCTCTGTCTCGTCTCTTATCTCTCTTTCTCTCCATCAGGGGCCTCTGTCTCTCAGTCTCTGTCTCCAGGGGCCTCTGTCTCATCTCCCTCCTTTCCTCTCCCTCTCTCCACGTCCCTGTGCCTGCGCAGTCCCCCCACCGTGCCCCCCCTTCTGTCTCCCTGGTGCTCCCCCTCTCCCCAACCCGGGGCCCTTCATACAGACGTCGCCCCCTCCCCCTCCTCCCCCTGCCTGGCTCAGCTCCAGGAGAAGGAAACATTGATCTTGGTGGGGACCCCACCCCCTGCGCCCGCCCCTCCGCCCGCCAGCCGTGCTATCCATCACCCGAGCCGACTCCGATGGCTCATTTGTCACCGGTCCTGACAAATGCCTGCCGCCCCTTCCCCTCCCGCACCACCAAGCAACTGTACCGTTAGCCACGGCTCAGTGGCGCGGGAGGACCCGGCCTGACCCGGGCGGGGGCGGGGTATGGGCTGCGGCTCCCACCGAGACCCTGTCTCCCCTTTCCTTCCGTCTTGCAGGGATCTGCTTTCCTTGGCCAGGTTCTGCTGTGCCTCGACCCGTCTCTGCCCGTCCTCCTTTTTCCTCCTTCTCTCCTCCCACTGTCTCTCGCACTGAGTCTCTTTCCGTCTCTGCTCTGTCTCTGTTGCTTTCTCCTTCACTGCCTCTCTCTGCTGCTGTCTCTCTATAACTTGGTCTCTCTCTGTCCCTGTCTCTCTCCGTCTCTCCATCTCTCCATCTCTCTTTGTCTCTTCGTCTCTCCATCTCTCTCCATCTCTCCATCTCTCTCCGTCTCTCCATCTCTCTCTGTCTCTCCATCTCTCCATCTCTCTTTGTCTCTCCATCTCTCCATGTCTCTCCAGCTCTCCATCTCTCTCCCTGTCTTTCCATCTCTCCCTCTCTCCATCTCTCCCTCTGTCTCTCCATCTCTCTCTCTCTCTCCCTCTGTCTCTCCATCTCTCTCTCTCTCCCTCTGTCTCTCCATCTCTCTGTCTCTCCCTCCCTCCTTCTCTCCATCTCTCTCCCTCTGTCTCTCCCTCTCTCTGTCTCTCCATCTCTCTCCGTCTCTCCATCTCTCTACCTCTCTCTGTTTCCCATCATCTCTCAGTGACTCTCTCCCTGTCTCTCCATGTCCCTCTCTGTCTGCCATGGGCTCTGTCAGCCCAGCTGTGCCTTTTTAATCTCTGGCCTCTGAGCATACCCTCGGCGTTGGCCTCACTGGCTCTGTGTGCTGGGAACAGGGTGAGGGCCTTGCCCTGGTGCCCCCTCCCTGCTCCCCTCCCTGGTGCTGTGTCCTGAGTCTCGGGCTTCCTCTGCCTGCGTCCTGTGTCATCTCTGCGTCCAGCATCATCTCTGTGTCCTGCAGTCTGTATCTCTGTCCTGTCTGTATCTCTGTCTCTGCGTCCTGTCTGTATCTCTGTCTCTGCATCCTGTCTGTTCATATGGGGCACCTCGAGAGTCCCCTGAGAGGTCCCCAGCAGGACGGAGACCTCATTGTCCACAGGGCGACCTGCTCATTCAACACGACCTTTATATATTTACTTATTTGAGATGGAGTCTAGGAAGGCTGACACTCCCTGGTGGTCTAGTGGTTAGGATTTGGCACCCTCACCATCGTGGCCTGGGTTCGATTCCCAGTCAGGGAAGTCTTCCTTTATTAAAAAAAAAAAGTTAAGGGGCATTTGGAGGAAAATTAAAGGAGAGGGAGTCTTGCTCTGTTACCTGGGCTGGGTGCAGTGGCGTGATCTTAGCTGACTGCAGACTGCCCCTCCTGGGTTCAAGTGATCTTCTTGTCCCAGCACCCTGAGTAGCTGGGACTACAGGCATGCGCCACCATGCCCGGCTAATTTTTGTGTTTTTAGTAGAGACGGGGTTTCACCATATTGGCCAGGCTGGTCTTGAACTCCCGACCTCAGGTGATCCACCTGCCTCTGTCTCTCCATCTCTCTCTGTCTCTCCTCCCTCTGTCTCACAATTCACTGCAGCCGCAACCTCCTGAGCTCAAGTGATCCTCCCACCCCAGCCTCTGGAGCAGCTAGGACTAAGGTGTGCAGCACGATGCCTGGATAATGCTGACTTTTAGTAAAGATGGGGTCTCACTGTGTTGCCCAGGCAGGGCTTGAATTTCTGGACTCAAACAGTCTGCCCAAGTTGGCCTCTCAAAGTACTGGGACTACAAGCATGAGTCCCCACACCTGGCCTGTTATTCTAATATAGATTCATTCAAGCCTCACAACAACCCTGGGACATAGGAACTGCTACCATCATTATCGCCCATTTTCCAGATGAGGAAATGGAGGCACAGAGAAGATCTGCCGCTAGGCTCTGCTGCCACCAAGGACAACGTCAATCACTCCCAAGCTGACCCCATGGAACTTTCTGCTTCCATGACCTTCCAGGTGAGGTGAGGGGACAGGTGTGAAAGCCCTCATGTTTTCCAAGCCTCAGGCTCTCAGTGTGTCCCTCCTTGAAGCAGAGACCTTACTCATCTTCCTGCACCCAGACTCTACACCCCACCCCCCTTTCTCTTTTAAGATGGAGTTTCACTCTGTCGCCCAGGCTGGAGGGCAATGGCACGATCTCAGCTCACTGCAACCTCTGCCTACTGGATTCAAGCAATTCTCCTGCCTCAGCCTCCCAAGTAGCTGGGATTGCAGGCGCCCACCACCAGGCTGGGCTAATTATTGTATTTTTAGTAGAGACGGGGTTTTACCATATTGTTCAGGCTGGTCTTGAACTCCTGACCTCAGGTGATCCACCTGCCTCAGCCTCCCAAAGTGCTGGCGTGAGCCACTGCACATGCCTGTAATCCCTCTTTGAAGCTGAGACCTTATTCAACTTCCTACACCCAGACTCTGCACCCCCACTTCTTTGTGCTTGTTAAGATGAAGGTGTCCCTTGTCCCATTCTGCACCCTGGACCTCATCCTGTCCCATCTTTGCCCTTTTACCTGTGAGATGTTGGCACGTTGCTTCACCTCTCCCAGCCTCAGCCTCCTCTTCTGTGGAGTGGGATGATGCACAGAACCTGTGGTGGGTTTAAGGAGATCGTGCATGGGGGTCCCCATCACTGCCAGCTGCTGTTAGCACAGGCCTCACTTGCTCTCCCGTGCCCCCGTAGCCAGTGTCCTGCTGCTTCTCCCACAACCTCCCCTCCTTGCATCCAGACTCTCCCTGACTCAGTTTCCCCACCTCCCCCTCCAGATCACCAAATCAGCGCACCTTCTGCCCCAACACCTTCCACAAACATGTTCTCACTCATCAAAGCCTAAAGCCAAAGGTCTTATTTTTTTCTTTTTTGAGACAGGACCTTGCTCTGTCACTCAGGCTGGAGTGCAGTGGTGCAATCATAGCTCATAGCAGTCTCAACCTCCTGGGTTCAAGCAGTCCTCCTGCCTCAGCCTCCCAAGTATCTGGGACTATAGGTACATGCCACCAGGCTTGGCTAACTTTGTTTGTTTCTGGGTTTTTTTGTTTTGTTTTGTTTTTTTTGAGATGGAGTCTTGCTCAGCCACCCAGACTGGAGTGCAATGGCTTGTTCTCAGCTCACTACAGCTTCCGCCTCTCAGGTTCAAGAGATTCTCCTGCCTCAGCCTCCCGAGTAGTTGGGATTACATGTGTGCGGCACTACGTCTGGCTAATTTTTTATATTTTTAGTAGAGACGGGGGTTTCACCATGTTGGCCAGGCTAGTCTCGAACTCTTGACCTGAGGTTATCCATCCACCTCGGCCTCCCAAAGTGCTGACATTACAGGCGTGAGCCACCGCGCCTGGCCAAATTTTAAAGTTTTTATAGACACGAGGACTCACTATGTTGCCCAGGCTGGTCTTGAACTCCTAGGCTCAAGCGATCCTCCCGCTCTGGCTTCCCAAAATGCTGGAATTAGAGGCATGAGCCACCATGCCGCGGGCCTATGGACAGTCTTGACGTCGGACTTTGGGTTGGGAGCGGCCACTGGGAAGCAGTGGCAGGAGGCTGGAAGGTGGGAGTGGAGTGAGGTTGAGCCTCCCCCGCGCCCCACTCCCCAGCATGGGCCGGCGATGCCTGTACTCTTTACAGACCCAGGTACACGTCTCTGCACCCTGGGGTGCCTCTGCTCACCCCTTCTAGCCCAGGAATGGCAACTGCTCCCTCTGCTGGTAGCCATGCAGTACTGCACCTTCTCTCGTTCTCCCCCAACCCTGCCCACTCCTCAGTAGCCCCTTCACCCACCTCCCGCTGGCTTCTCCGTTTGAAAGAACACACCACCTCTCTCCTGCCAGGATGCTTTCCCTGAACTCCTTCACCCAGACCCATCCATTCTTTCTCAACCACTCCCTTCCCACCATCCGCCTCTCACCCCCCTACTCCTCTCTCACCTCCTTTTCTGCCCTTGTCCCTGCTGCAGCCTCGTCCCTGGTCTCCCAGCCACCAGTAGCCAGGAGGAACGTTTGATAAAATACATCAGGTGATATCAATCGCCTGCCTTCCTCTCCTACTTAAATCCCTTCCAAAGCTCCCCTTTGCTCCTAGGATAAATTCCAAGCTCCCTAGCGTGGCTGATAAAGTCTCTTAGGATTTAAGTTCGCTCCCGACGCACCCCATACCCTGTTCATGATAAGCATTTGCAGGGCTCTGAAAAAGCCATTATCTCACAAGTCTGCACACCTTTACACAGATTGTATCCTTTGGCACAACACACACACGCGCGCGCGCACACACACACACACACACACACCCTCTTCCTGTAGGATCTGAGAAAATTAGTTGCTTTATTTAGGAAATCCCATCAATCCCAGCTCTTTGGCTCAGGCAATTGAGCATCTTTCTCTTTTGTGTTCTCAGGACGCCTCATAAAGTGGAACAGAACAGTCTGGCTGATGCACGTGGGCGTGGCTAGTGGAAGCCCGTGATTGAAGCAGGAAGGCGTGGCTGAAGCGCGACTGATGAGTGGGGATGTGACTAGCGAAAGAGCTGGGCTGATGGATGGGGGCGTGGCTAGTGGTAACCCGTAATTAACGTATGGGGGCCTGGAAAGTGGAGGAGATTGGCTGAGTGGGGGCGTGGCTAGTGGAAGCCCGTGACTGATGATAGGGGTGTGGCTAGTGGAGGAGCTAGGCTGACGGATGGGGTAGTGGCTAGTGGAAGCCCGTGACTGATGATAGGGGTGTGGCTAGTGGAGGAGCTAGGCTGACGGATGGGGTCGTGGCTAGAGAAAGTTCTTGACTAATGGTGGCGTGGTGCGTGGAAGAGCTTGGCGGCGGGACTGGAGCGCAGGTGCTGGATATGGGTGCGTCCCGCAGACGACCCACGGGCCGCAAAATCCCGGACTACCTGCTTTAACAGATGTGGTAAAGTTGTCCACATCTCAGTCAGACACCTTATTAGCCCCCTCCTCCTGAATCCCAGCTTCCCACGGGACTTTTTCAGGCAGAATTTCAAAGTTTTATGGCAACTTTTACAGAAATCACAGAAAAGAGACAGCGACTGATGCTGATGAGCTGGGGGGAGGGGGAGAGTGGGTAACGGGTCTGGGAGGTTGGGGCTGAGAACAACAGGACGATAGAATGCTGAAAACCTGTGGGAAGCAGAAAGTTATGGGGGTAGCTGGGTCGTCCTAGGGGCCCAAGGAGTGGGTGGCACTGCCCATATGTGTCCTTTGGGCAGGAAACATCAACAGTAAGAAAATGCAGATGGCCTACCAAAGATGGATGGCCTCCAAAGTTAAAAATGCCCACCCAGATCCCTTGGCCCAATCCCATCCCCCCACCCACCCCCACCCCCATCAGGCAGAGATGTGGCAGCATTTGCTGGCTTGTAGCATTGGTCCTCTGGGACCCTCGGTCTCCTCTTCGAGGGTCCTGCCCGGATTTGCTGGCACTGAGGGCAAAATGAACCTTCCAGATTGTCAGGGGAGATCAGCTGACTCCCTTTGATTCCCGGCCTCCTCCCCAAAGCCGGTTCTCATGGCTGAGGGAGTTTGCTGCCCTCTCAAAAGTTAAGTCTGTCACCCCCTTTTCCCAAGACATGCACCCTCCCGCGTCCCCCCCTCCCCCAAACACACTATGTACACACACAGGCCCCTCCCTCCAAGGCGTGGCTGGGCTCTCAGAGGTAGTGGAGGGCGAGTGGGGGCGCTGGAATGTCTGAAGTTGCAGGTTCAAAATGTGCCTCCTCCAGCTAAGCCCTGGGACTGAAACCCCAAACTTCTCCCCTCCCGTCTCCGAGCCTGGAGAATGAGTGTCCTCCCGAGAACCCGAGTAGAGGGATTGGAAGGTGTGCGGCAGGCACACCCACCGGCTCCTCCCTACCGGGGCTGAGCGGAGCTCCCTGAGGGCTGTGGGGAAGGGCTGGGATCTGAGACGGTCTGTGAGAGCCTCCTTCGAAGGTTTCCCCAGTGGGGGTAGGTTCTGAGGCTCTGGGGCATGGGGTGAGGTTGGGTCGGGGGCACTAGGGGAAGGGAGACTTTGGGGGCAGAGCCAAAGTCTGAGTGACCAGGGAGAGAGACGTTAAAATCCCCAGGATGGGCCGGGTGTGGTGGCTCACGCCTGTAATCCCAGCACTTTGGGAGGCTGAGGCAGGTGGATCACCTGAGGTCGGGAGTTCGAGACCAGCCTCAAAATGGAGAAACCCCATTTCTACTAAAAATACAAAATTAGCCGGGCGTGGTGGCGCATGCCTGTAATCCCAGCTACTCGGAAGGTTGAGGCAGGAGAATCACTTGAAGCCGGAAGGCGGAGGTTGCGGTGAGCCCAGATATGCCACTGCACCCAGCCCGGGCAAGAGTGAAACTCCGTCTCCCCCCCACCCCCCCCGCAAAAAAAGCCTCAGGATGGTCACTGGGGGTGGCTTCCTGGGGAGGGGGCTGGGGTGGAAATTCTCCCAGGGGTGTAGATGGTCACCGACAGGATGGGCTAGATTGGGGTCACCGCAGGGGAGGAACTGGGGAGGCTCCCGAGAGGGAAGGCTGAGCTACTGGGGACAGAGGACAGGGACGATCAAAGCCCGGAGCTGGGTGGGGAGGGAGGCCGAGTCCCAGGAGGGGAGGATGAGTCTGGAGGGAAAAGGAGACCAGGGTCCAAGAGCCGGTTCGGCGGAGCCCCCCAGCCCCGGGCGGGCGGTGGGGCCGAGTCTTGGGCAAGGCCCTAGAAGCCTCGGATGTGGCAATACGCCTCCAGGCTGGCAAAGAGGATGTACAGGAGCCACAGGCCCAGGAAGAGCGCGGTGGTGGCGAGCTTGGGTCCGCGCGGGCCGCCCAGCTCGCCGCCGATGTGCGGCCGGCGCCGGTACAGCAGCACGGCGATGCCCACGAAGGCGAAGACGGTGAAGAGCGTGACGGAGAAGGCCAGCGTGCCGGTGCGCACCTCGAAGGGGCGGCCCTGCACCGCCCAGTACACGGCGGCCACCGACCAGGCGACGCCCAGGCCCAGGAACACGTTCACCGCGTTGGAGCCGGTCACGTTGCCGATGGACGCGTCGGCGCACTGGTCCTGCAGCGCCGCCACCTTGCTGGCGAACGTGTCTGCGGGGCAGAGGCACGCGGGTCGGAGGGGCTCTGCGCCACCCACGGGGGCGGGCAGCCACCTGCTCCCTCCCGGCCTTCCCCGGTCGCCTGCTTTCTGCCGGCAGGGTGGGTTCAAGGCCCTGAGCCCCATCCAGGAGGCGAAGTCCATCTCCACCCCAGGCCTGCTCGCGACTGGAACCGCCGCCTGCTCTCTGTGGGACTCATTCTCTTCTTTCTACCGGACTCACTGCCTGATTTTTATGGGACTCTCAGTTAACTTTTTTTTTTTTTTTTTTTTGAGACGGAGTCTGCTTTGTTGCCCAGGCTGGACTGCATGTTGGCTCACTGCAACCTCCGCCTCCCCAGGTTCAAGCGATTCTCCTGTCTCAGCCTCCCAAGTAGCTGGGATTACAGCCCACCGCCACGCCCCCAGCTGTGTGTGTGTGTGTGTGTGTGTGTGTGTGTGTGTGATGGAGTTTCGCTCTTGTTGCCCAGGCTAGAGTGCAATGGTGAGACGGCTCACCACAATCTCCACTTCCCGGGTTCAAGTGATTCTCCTGTTTCAGCCTCCCGAGTCGCTGGGATTACAGGCGCCCACCACCACCGTGCCTGGCTAATTTTGTATTTTTAGTAGAGTCGGTTTTTCTCATGTTGGTCAGGCTGGTCTCAAACTCCCAACCTCAGATGATCCGCCTGCCTTGGTCTCCCAACATGACTGGGATTACAGGCATGAGCTACTGCACCCAGCCTAGTTGTTCTATTTTTAGTAGAGATGGGGTTTCACCATCTTGGCCAGGCTGGTCTGGAACTCCTGACCTCAGGTGATCCACCCACCTCAGCCTCCCAAAGTGCTGGGATTATAGGCATGAGCCACCGAGCCTGGCCGGCACAGTCTACTTTCTATAGGACCCACTGTCAACTTTCTATAGGACATGCTGCCTGCTTACGATGTGACCCACTGCCGGCTTTCAGTGGGTCTCACTATCTGCATTAGGTTGGAAGTGCTGCCTGTCCACTGTGTGACTTGTATGAGTTCAATGGACCCACTGTCTTTCCTCAGGACTTACAGCCTCTTCCTTTGGATTACAGCTCACGCCTCTAGTCCAGCACTTTGGGAGGCCGAGGCAGGCAGATCACGAGGTCAGGAGTTCACCACCAGCCAGACCAATATGAAATCCCGTCTCTTCTAAAAATGCAAAAATTAGACAGGTGTGGTGGTGCACACCTGTCGTCTCAGCTACTTGGGAGGCTGAGGCAGAAGAAACACTTGAGCTTGGTAGGCAGAGGTTGCAGTGAGCCCAGATCGTGCCACTGCACTCCAACCTGAGCGACAGAGCGAGACTCCATCCCCCCCCAAAAAAACTTTGAGGTTCACTGGGCCGGTTCCTATCACGTCCCCCAACATAGTTCCATGGACTCTTGTCTGGTTTCTTGGGGGATGGGGCATCAGCTTGTTTCTATGGAATCCACTGATTGGCTTCTCTGACATCCAGTGTCTTCCTAGGAACCCCTCTCCCCACAGCTGGGTCTTCCCTACCCTGCTGCCTTCTCTCTATGAAATCCATTGTCAGCTTCCTACCACTTCCCACCACCTTTGTTTTATGGGACCTTCCACCTGGGTGCTTTTAGGGAAGATTCCATCCACATCTTGGATCTAGGGACCCGCTGGGTAGCTTCTACCCTGCCCCACCTCCGTACTTCTCTGAGGCCACCACATGGGTGCTGTGTGACTCCTCCCACCTCATTTCGGCAGGATCCTGTGTTGCCCCTGTCTGGTTCATCTGAGATCCTACCCCACCGAGCCTACCCCACCGCAGTCTCCCGGGGTGTTACCAGGGATGGAGGTGCCCAGGGCCACGAAGACAACAGCGTTGACAGAGTCCTTGAGGCCAACGGTGCAGCCGAAGTGGGAAGCGAGGTCCCCAATGAGGGCGGTGAGCAGGCCGATGACCAGGATGGAGACGCCAAAGCAGGCCCAGCCGTGGCAGTACTCGGTGGGGGGCACGCAGGCGAAGAGCACCTTCCAGAACACCGTCAGGAAGTGCATCACGTAGTCAAAGCAGGACGGCAGCCGCTCCTCCCGGGACCCGTCCTCCTCCTCCTCCTCGTCCCCTGTGGGCACACGACCCAGCTGGGGCACACACCCAGACACCCTTCCTTGCCTACAGAGGCCCGGAGTCGTCTGACAGCAAGTCCTGCAGCACGGACTGCTTTCCCCAAATCCCTTGCACCTAAATGTGGTCAAGGCAATAGCTGAAAACAGTTACTTTCCCAGAATCCCTTGAAGCTAGGAGCGTGAATGGGCCCAGGTGAAAAATATTTACTTTCCCAGAATCCCCTGAACCTAAATATGGCTGAGTCAGCAGCTGAAAACAGTTACTTTTCCTGCATCCTTTGAAGCTAGGAGCGTGAATGGGCCCAGGTGAAAAATATTTACTTTCCCAGAATCCCTTGAACCTAAATATGGCGGAGTCAGCAGCTGAAAACAGTTACTTTCCCAGAATCCCTTGAAGGTAGGAGTGTGAATGGACCCACGTGAAAAATATTTACTTTCCCAGAATCCCTTGCACCTAAGTGTGGCCAAGTCAGCAGCTAAAAACCATTACTTTCCCAGAATCCCTTGAAGCTAGGAGCATTAATGGGCTGAGGTGAAAACTATTTACCTTCCCAGAACTGCTTGCATGTAAATGTGGCCAAGTCAACAGCTAAAAACAGTTACTTTCCCAGAACCCCTTGAAGCTAGAGGAGGCCATATCAGCCCAGCTAAAAATATCCAGTTTCCCAGGACCCTTTGCTGTCAGGGACAGACATACCCCTAGCTAAAAATATTCCTTTTCCCAGAGGCCTTCACAACTACTGAAAGCCATGTCCACAGCTAGAAACATTCACTTCCTCAGATTCACTGCAGCTAATCAGAGCCACAGGCTCTACTAAATGTACTCACATTCCCAGAACCCCTTGCAGCTAGAGGGCCATATACCCAGCCAAAGTTAATCACTTTCCCAGAATCCCTTGAGGCCAGTAGCAGCTATGGCCTCAGATAAAAATACAGTATTCACTTTCCCAGAATCCCTTGCAGTTGGCAGTTGCCATGTCCCCAGCTAAATGCTTGTTTTGCCAGAATTCCTCCCGTGAGCGGCCATCTGACCCAGTCTGGCAATGAGATATAACAGAGGGTTTCTGGAAAGCCCTGCCTTTCCTGATATGGGCATTGGATTGTGGTATGTTTTCTGAGCTTTGTAAAGGATGCCTCCCGCTTAGAGCTCTATCACCTATTGTGACCTAATTTGACCTGCAGTGACTTTTTTTTTTGAGACAGAGGCTCACTCCATCACCCAGGCGGTGGTGCTATCTCAGCTCACTGCAACCTCCGCCTCCCAGGTTCAAGTGAGTCTCATGCCTCAGTCTACTGAGTAGCTGAGATCACAGGTATACACTACCCCACTTGGCCGATTTTTTTGTATTTTTGGTAGAGATGGGGTTTCTCCATGTTGGCCATGCTGGTCTCGAACTCCTGGCCTCAAGCGATGTGCCTATCTAGGCCTCACCAAGTGTTGGGATTACAGGCATGAGTCACCACACCCAGCCAACCTGCAGTGGCTTCTGTAATCTGAAAGCCCCATTGCAATATTCGGTTTACCTTACCCTACGATGGTCAGCATATGCAATGAATGAGAGTGAATGGCCGCACTTGAGGGTGCCACGCATTACATCTGGAAGGACGCTGATAAGAATGAACGTGACTCCTGAACAGTCACTGCTGACGCATCCCTAGATGATGTAAGACATGGCTTCGGGCAGAGCAGGGAGGCCACACTCTTTGAGAGGGAGGGGGCTGCTATTACCGCATCACTGTGTCAATTTGGGCTTCTGCCTGCCCTGCTCCAAATCCTTCCTTGGTTCTGCACTGCCTTCAAACCCAGGCCCACACGCCCAGGCTGGGCATTCTGTGGACTCTGGCCTCAGCTTGCTAACCCAGCCACTCTCCTCTACAGGGAGGCTTGTGGTTGTGTCTGTCACTCTGAAGTCACCTCTCTGGTGTCCAACCCTGGATCCTGAATTGGTGTCCTCACCTCTCTGGGCTTCCGGGTGCCTAGCTGTGACAAATAATTAGACCTGCTTTATGGGAAGCCTGTGATGACCGAATGAGTCGGTTCATGTAAAGTGCTGTCAGCGGCCCCTTGGACACCTCGAGTTATTACTATCATTTCGAATGTTATTGCTGACGGCCTCTTTTGGTGCCTGGGAGAAATTCAGAGATTCTCCATGCCAACTCCAGCCTGCAAGGAGATTACAGTAGGAAGGGAGGCAAAGGAAGTACAAAAGCACCTCTGCACGCAGGGTGGGACCCAACTCATCCCCTAAGGGAGTGAGAACTGCCCTTCCCCCTCACCCCTCCAACAGCTCTGTGCTCACACAGCAGAGAACCAAAAGGCACGGGCTGGGCAAAGTGCGAAGTGACCAAGTGCTGACACAGACCCTGAGGATACATTAATTAAATGAGTTCACTCAGGAAACACATTTCCAACCATGCCTGGCACTCAAGACGTGATAGGGTCAGCTGGGCACAGTGGCTCATGCCTGTAATCCCAGCACTTTGGGAGGCCAAGGTGGGCAGATCACTTGAGGTCAGGAGTTTGAGATCAGACTGGCCAACATGATGAAACCCCATCTCTACTAAAAATTCAAAACTGAGCTGGGCGTGGTGGTGGGTGCCTGTAATCCCAGCTACTCGGGAGGCTGAGGCAGGAGAATCGCTTGAATCCAGGAAGAGGAGGCTGCAGTGAGCCAAGATCGTGCCACTGCACTCCAGTCTGGGCAACAGAGTGAGATTACATCACTTGAGAAAAAAAAAGACATGATAGGGCCAAGATTGTCATCATCAGATTATTATTACTGTTACTGCTTGTGTTACGGTTGTCATTCTTCCTCCACCCCGATGTAACCACCTGATCTAACCACCTGGTTTTTAAAACCCACTGCCCGATGTATGCGGGGTCTCCACAACCACCACCTCACGCCTCATTCAGTTCCGCCTCATCCTCCGTCTCCGCTGAGTCCCCAGAGGGAATGTTCTGAAGCTCAAAAAGCCCCTTGCTGTCACCCCACTGTTCCTGGGACACGCCCATCTTCTGCTAGTTTCTCCAGTCCCTACCCCACCCCATCCACCCTCCCCCGTTTCCTCCCACAAGCTCTCTCTAGACCCAGGGGCTCCCCCATGTGTTCAAAATCCCACCCAAGCTCCCTACTGAGGCCCACAAGGAACCATGTGGTCCGGAACCTTCCAATTTCCAGCCTCATCCTGATACCTCTTCTCCCCGTCCGAAACCAGGCATCCAACCAAGAAAGGTGCCATAATCCTGCACACTCCAGAGCTTCCGTGCTTGGCTCTCCCTCTGCCTGGAACACCCTCCATGTCTTCTCCCTCCTCCTGGCTGACATCTTTTCCCATTTGAAGAGTCAGCTCAGAAGCCACCTCCTCCAGGAAGCCCTCCCTGACTCCCAGGATGGGTCAGGAACCCCATCCGGGCTTTCCTCCAGGTCTCCTTCCCAGCCCTGCCTACTCTGGGTTGTCTCTTTCTAAGCTCCATGAGGGCAGGGCCAGGACTGTTTTGGTCACTTTTGTGTATCCTTGGCAATGTCTCACACAGAGTTGGGCTAAGACGATCCCTCAGAAGTATGTCCAGAAAGATGTGGCTTCAGAGGGAGATGCCACTTTGTTTCTAGTGGGAAAGCAGTCTGCTGTCGCCTCATATTTTTCCATCCCTGAAGTCTGGTTTCTTTTGATCCCACTCGCCCAGTTTCTTTGCAACCACAATTCCTTGTATGCCTTCAGTCCCCAAGAGCTGGGGCCTTAAGGCTGATGTTACGTGAGACTGAAGCCCTGAGCTCTGACCTTGGACCGTCTTTGGACTCCCTGTGGGACTTCGGGCCAGTCCCTCCTCTGTCTCTGAGCCTCAGTCTCGCCAATCCATAGCACAAAGGGCCAGTGCTGTGCTTCCAAGACCATCTGTGGGTCCAAGTGTCATAGTGTCTCTAGCCACAAGGGGGCAGTGCGGGCCCGTCTGAGGCCAAGGAGGGTGGGGACCCGTGCAGGTGGGAGAGAGCTGGGTACCGTGGTGACTATCTCCATGGCAACGGAGGAACCCAGGCTCTCTCTGGGGTGGCCACGCCATTTAACCCGTTCCCACACTCCTGACGCCTGATGCCGGGAGAAAGCCCAGGCCTAGACTCCTCCTGGCTCAGCCTGAGCCAAACCCTCCCAGCCTCCTCCTAGCAGCTCCCACCACCACCTCTCCCGTCTCTGCCCTTTCTGTGTGTCCCATCTACCTGCCTCCCTCACCCTGGCCCTCTTCTGTTTGCACATTCATTCTGTCTCATGCCTTCTCCATGATTCTCCCTGTGTACTTCTGTGTGTCTGTCTCTCATGCTTGCAGTTGTATTTTAGAGACAGAGTCTTGCTCTGTTAGCCAGGCTGGAATGCAGGGGCGCGATCATAGCTCACTGCAGCTTCAAACTCCTGGCCTCAAGCGAACCTCCTGCCTCAGCCTCCCAAAGCGCCGGGATTCCAGGCATGAGCCACTGCACCTGGCCTGTTTATCTCTGTGCCTGTCTCTCCATTCATTTCCATTCATTTCTCCCCCTTTCTCTGTGTCTCTATCTCTCCATCCTTCTCTCTTCTCTCTCCTCCCTCCCCACTTACCTGCGCTCACCGTAATTGCCTCTAAAAACTGCTCCCTCCATGAATGGGTCCCAATTACCAAGGCCAAGTTCGTTTTCTTGATGAGTTTATCCACCGTGTTCTGGGGACGAGAGGGTGGGGGAGAGGTCACTGCCCCTGAGCGAACCAGGGCAGCTCCACGTGGGGTCCTGGGTCAGGGGCTCATAGCCTGGGCCCAGGGGACCTCAACTTTCCACACCCCAGGTCTGAAGGCAAGCAAAGGGAGGCGTGTGCTGTCCGTGGTGCTGACGCGGGACCCCCGTTTAGCCTGCCCTCCTTGGGAAGCTGGTGGCTCCCTCATTTCTGGACCCTCCCCAAGGAAATGACCCAGGCCAGACTCCAGGAAGATGAGCCCCTGGAAAATCACCTTAAAATCATACGACTCCTCGATGATGACCTCTAGCCGGCAGTTTTCCCCAAGAACTGGCTTGCCCATCTCTGCTATCCTCCGAGCCTCCTCCTCCTCGGCTGTTAGCTTCCTGTCCCCATCCCCTACAGCATGAGGGATGGAGGTTAGACTCCCAGGAGACCTACCCAACTGGGCCTGCCATGCCTTTACTACCTGTCCCCGTAGTTAGAGAAAGCCTATCTCTTCTCCTCTGGAAAGCTCCTTGGTGACCCCTCCCAGCCTCGCACCTGACCCCGGTCTCCTTCAACCTTGGGGCCCAGCTCCCAAGGGCTGGTCCATGCTGTTTAGTTTGTGGGGTCTGGGGTTCACATGGTGGAGGCTGTGAGACCTCTCTGTGCCTTAGTTTTCATATCTGTAAAATGGGCATAGTAATTAGTACCTACCTCACGGGGTGGTTGTGAGTTTTTTTTTTTTTTTTTGAGACGGAGTTTTGCTCTTGTTGCCCAGGCTGGAGTGCAATGGCGTGATCTCAGCTCACTGCAACCTCTGCCTCCTGGGTTCAAGCGATTCTCCTGCCTCAGCCTCCTGAGTAGCTGGGATTACAGGCGCACACCACACGCCCGGCTAATTTTGTATTTTTGGTAGAGACGGGGTTTCTCCATGTTGGTCAGGCTGGTCTTGAACTCCCGACCTCAGGTGATCCGCCCACCTCGGCCTCCCAAAGTGTTGGGATCACAGGCGTGAGCCAGCGCGCCCGGCCAGTTGTGAGATTTAAATGAGTTAATTTGTGTGAAGTGCTTAGAACAGTGCCTGGCACACAATAAATATTCAGAACATGTTCTAATCTTTATTATTACCACCAACATTATCATCATCCTCGCCACCCTGATGGCGGAGGCCTGGTCTCTACACCCAATTTCTGGAAGCATCCTAGCGTGTGTCTGAGGTGGTGAGGAGAGGGGAGGACACCCGATCTTGGTACAAATCTTGGAACCAGACCCACCTACATCCTGGTCCTGAGCCCACTTCTCTCCCCAGAGTATGCTGACCCTTGACTCCAACCCAGCAGCAGCCCAACCCCAATTCTGGTCCCTAACTCTGAGCTTGACTCTCACTGTGACCCCAGATGGAAGCCTGTCATCAACACTGACCCCAAACACCAACCCTCAACCCTCGATCTGACCTCATCCCAACTCTAACATTCTCCATAACCTGGAACATCAATAACCCCAAGCCATACCCCAAACTCCATGTCCAGATCTAACTCCAGGCCTACACCTGACCCCAAACCTCAGTCCCAACTCCCAACTCTGCCAGCATCACTCTTGAGGAGCTTGACCATGTGGCAGAGGCTGCTGTGTGTTCACCTGAACCTGTTTCCTCTCCCGCCTGGGCAAAGAGCTGAACTACGTTTCCCAGCCTTCCTTGCAGCTGGGCGTGGCCACAGCCTGAGTCATGGACACTAGAATGTGGGCAGAAATGATGGTCAGTCCCTCTAGGCTTAGACCCTGAAAACCTCCCATATGATCCTCCAAACTCTCTTGCCCTGTTCGCCAGCAGCAAATCCAGCCACAACGCCAAAGCTCCCTGGCACAGTGGAGCCACAAAATGGAATGGCTACATGGCAGAAGAAAGCCACCCACCAACTAGGAACATTCTCGTAAAACTTTGCCTGAATGGCCAGGTGCAGTGGCTCATGCCTGTAATCCCAGCACTTTAGGAGGCTGAGGCAGGTGGATCACCTGAGGTCAGGTGTTTGAGACCAGCCTGGCCAACAAGGTAAAACCCAGTCTCTACTAAAAATACAAAAAATTAGCCACATGTGGTGGTGGGTGCCTGTAATCCCAGCTACTCGGGAGGCTGAGGCAGGAGAATCACTTGAACCCAGGGAGTGGAGGTTGCTGAGATCACGCCACTGCACTCCAGCCTGGGCAACAAGAGCAAAACTCTGTCTGAAGCAAACAAACAACAACCCCCCCCCCAACCCTGCCAAAAAACCCAAATAACAACAACAAAAACTTTGCCTGGGCAAGCAATAACTTGTTTTCCTTCCCCTCACCCCCTCTCCTCCCCTCTCTTCCCCTGTTTCCTTCCCTCTCTCCCTCCCTTCTTTGTCTTTTCTCTTCTTTTTTCTTTTGAGATGGGGTCTTCCTCTGTTGCCCAGGCTGGAGTGCAGTGGCGTGATCTTGGCTCACTGCAACCTCTACCTCCCGGGTTCAGGCGATTCTCCTGCCTCAGCCTCCCAAGTAGCTGGAATTCCAAGTGCCATCACACCTGGCTAATTTTTGTAATCTACTAAGAGATGGGGTTCCACCGTGTTACAGACATAATCTTGACCTCCAAAACGCTAACTGTAATCCCAAACTCACACAGGCACTACCAACTCTAAGGCCTGCTCCCAGCTTCCCCCAGTCCTGAATCTGCCTTTATCTCACCTGCAATCTGCCTCAAACCCAACCTAGAAGGGTAGCTTTGGGGCTGGGCCCCTCCCCCAGGGCCCACTTCCAGTCGCTCCTCCCACTAAGAGCCCAGAGGTGACTTCACTCACCTTGATTGAGTAGCAGAGCTGGGGAGAGACAGAGACAGGCAGACCGTGAGATCAGTCCCCAACAGAGCTCAGATCCATGAGCTTTAAGGAGTGCCCGAAATTGAGCCCCCGAAAGTCCCCCAACCCTGGACCCCTTACCTCTCCCACTGCCCAGTGGTCACCCCTCACCTGAAATCCCTCGCTTAAGCCACTGGGGCTGGCCCAGCTCAATGAAGAAGTTATCCTTTTTCTCATATTCCTCGTCATCAACTATCTTCACCTGAAGAGTTTTCCTGTGGTGGGGGGGGGGAGGCAGAACACCCAGCATGAGGCCCCCTCCCCAGAATCACCAGGCAACCTCCTAGCAGACACCCAGTTTTCTGAGCACCTCCTCTGTCCAGGCTCCACAATCTCATTTAGTCCTCATCAGCACTCAGGGAGGAAGGCTCTATTATCATCCCCATTTGGCAGAAACGAAACCAGGCACTGGTGAGGAAGCTGAGGCTGATTAAAGCATTCCGGACGTGGGGGCTCATGCCTGGCATTGCAGCTCTTTGGGAGGCCGAGGAGGGAGGATTGCTTGAGGCCAGGAGTTCGAGACCAGCCTGGGCAATACATCAAGACCCCATCTTTGTTTATATTAAATATTTTATTTCAAAAATAAAGTAGGCCCAGTACGGTGGCTCACGCCTACAATCCCAGCACTTTGCGGGGGGTGGGGGTTGAGGCAGGCAGATCACCTGAGGTTGGGAGTTCGAGACCAGCATGACCAACATTGGAGAAACCCCATCTCTACCAAAAATATAAAATTGGCCGGGCGTGGTGGTGCACACGCCTGTCATCCCAGCTACTTGGGAGGCTGAGGCAGGAGAATCACTTGAACCTGGGAGGCGGAGGGGGGTTCTGGTGAGCCAAGACCAGGTCATTGCACTCCAGCCTGGGCAACAAGAGTGAAAGTCCGTCCAAAAAAATTAATTAAATAAAATTAAATGAAAAATAAAGTAAAGCAGTATGAGCTCATGGTTGAGACAGGATTTGAACTGAGCGCTGTCAGAATCGAGACTGTTGAGCCCTCCACTCCAGCGCAGCCATGACTGTCTCCCACCCAGATGGCTGTAGTTGCCTCCTAAGCAACCCCATGCTCCAGCTTCACCCCCCACACTCTGTTCTTCCAAGAGCAGCCAGAGCAATACTGATAGAACCAAAGTCAGACTGGGCCCCTCCCCTGTGGGAAACATTGGCATGGCACCGTCTCTCACAGAGTGAAAGCCGAAAGTCCTTAGAAGGGCCCACAAGGCCCCTGCCATCAGGCACTCATTCCCGCTCTGGCCTCCTTGCTATTCCTTGAACCAGCCAGGCCTGCTCATGCCTCAGCGCTTCTGCGCTGGCTGTTCCCTCTGCCCAGAACACTTTTCCCCTGAGCTCACGTCCTCATTCTTCCAGTTCTCTATTCAAACTCCACCTCCTCAATGAGGCCCACTCCTTCCATCTTACTTAATAGTGAACTCCCTCGCTCCCTGCACCCCAGCACTCCCTTACACTGCTCTGTTGTCTTTCTTTTTAACGTATTTATTATTATTTTTGGAGACAAGGGCTTGCTGTGTCACCCAGGCTGCAGCGCAGTGGTGCAGCCATACCTCACTGAAGCCTCAAAGTCCTGGGCTCAAGCGATCCTCCTGCCTCAGCCTCTCATGTAGCTGGGACTACGGGCATGCACCACCATGCTCAGCTAATTTTTTTTTTTTTTTTTTTAGATGAAGTCTTATTCTGTTGCCCAGGCTGCAATCTTGGCTCACTGCAACCTCTGCCTCCCGGGTTCAAGTGATTCTCCTGCCTGAGCCTCCCGAGTAGCTGGGATTACAGGCACCCCCCCAGCACGCCCACCTAATTTTTGTATTTTTTTTTTTTAGTAGGTTTTGCCATGTTGGCCAGGCTGGTCTCGAACTCCTGACCTCAGGTGATCCACCCACCTTGGCCTCTTAAAGTGCTCACAGGCATAAGCCACTGCGCATGGCCTGCTCAGCTATTTTTTTACATTTTTGTAGAGATTGGGTCTCAGCACATTGCCCAAGCTGGTCTTGAGCTCCTGGCCTCAAGTGATCCTCCCATCTTGACCTCCCAAAGTGCTGGGATTACAGATGTGAGCCATAGCGCCTGGTCTGTCTTCTTTAAATATCACCTAATACCCTCCAACATTTATTTAGTTTATTATTTATTATTTACCATTTTTTATTGAGTGAGCCTCCCCATTTTAAAATTTAAGGTCCCCCAGGTAAATTCATTTATAGTTTTTTTTTTTTTTGAGACAGAGTCTCATTCTGTTGCCCAGGCTGGAGTGCAGTGGTGTGATCTTGGCTCACTGCAACCTCTGCCTCCTGGGTTCAAGCAATTCTCCTGCCTCAGCCTCCTGAGTAGCTGGGATTCCAGGTGCCGCCACCATGCCCAGCTAATTTTTTTGTTTAAGGCAGAGTCTTGCTCTGTCGCCAGGCTGGAGTGCAGTGGCACGATCTTGGCTCACTGCAACTTCTACCTCCCGGGTTCAAGCAATTCTCCTGCCTCAGCCTCCCGAGTAGCTGGGACTACAGGTGCCTGCCACCACACCCAGCTAATTTTTTGTATTTTTAAGTAGAGATAGGGTTTCACCATGTAAGCCAGGCTGGTCTTCGTCTCCTGACCTCGTTGTGATCCACCCACCTCAGCCTCCCAGAGTTCCGGGATTACAGGCGGGAGCCACTGTGCCCGGCCAGTCCACTTACTTTTTTTTTTTTCTGTCTCCTACAGCCAGAACAGTGCTGGGCATGGAGCAAGCCCTGAATACATATTTTGCTAACTCCAGTCCTTCAGCACAGAAAAACCTGTTTCCTGCTCTCCGTCCCAACCAGATTTGGAGAGTTAACCAAATGCTGATGCTAATTGATTTTCTCAGCATCTCTGCTCCTATGGTAACCAGCAGGTGGGAGCAAACAGCCAGAAGTTACCTGTCACCTCCAGGCACACAACCCACCTGCCTGGACCCTGAAGGCCCACAACCCCAGAATGCCCACAGCTCTGCCACTGGCAACTCTTTTGGCTGTAGGAACTATGTAGTCCCACAAGGCCTGGCCCCAGAACCCAGAAACACAAACACCCGGCCCACACAGTCACCCAATCGAGGAAGCACAGCTGATCACACCGCCCACACCCACACGCCATCACACCCGGCAGCCGTTCCCAGTGCAGTGGCGAGACTGCATGGACCAGATGCCCATCAGTTAGCACGACTCCCCCACCACAGCCTCGGCGACATTGCCACCCTGCAGCCCCCCACTGCAGTATCACGTAGACACTCCTACCTTCTATCTCACTCCTGATGCCTCCTGGTATCTATGTTTACTTCCTTCAGTGCCTACATCTCTGTCCCCACATTTTCCATCTTCTTTTCTCTGCCTCTCTCGGGTTCTCTGGGTCTCTCTCTCCATCTCTGACTCTTTCTGTCTCTGCAATTCTCCAGCAGTCTCTCTCTCTGACTCTGACTCTCTCTGTTCTCTGTCTCAGTCTCTTCTCATCTCTCTGCCCTCCCTTTTTTTGAGACAAGGTCTCACTCTGATGCCCAGGCTGGAGTGCAGTGGCATAATCATGGTTCACTGCGGCCTTGATCTCTAGGTCTCAAGCAATCCCCCCACCTCAGCCTCCTAAGTAGCTGGAAATATAAGTGTGCGCCACCACACCTGGCTACTTTTCAATTTTTTATAGAGACAGGATCTCACTATGTTGCCCAGGCTGGTCTTGAACTCCTAGGCTCAAGTGATCCTCCTGCCTTGGCCTCCCCAGTACTTGGATTACCGGTGTGAGCCACCTCACCTGGCCTGCCCTTCTTTATCTGGATTCTTCTCTCCCCATCTCTGTCTCTCAGAATCTAAAGAATGGAGTAACCAGGCCGGGCATGGTGGCTCACACCTGTAATCCCAGCACTTTAGGAGGCCAAGGTGGGCAGATCACAAGGTCAGGAGATTGAGACCATCTGGCTAAATGGTGAAACCCCATTTCTACTAAAAACACAAAAAATTAGCCAGGCATGGTGGTGTGAGCTCCCAGTACTCAGGAGGCTGAGGCAGGAGAATCGCTTGAACCTGGGAGGTGAAGGTTGCAGTGAGCTGAGGTTGCGCCATTGCACTCCAGTCATGGCCACAGAGGGAGACTCTGTTTCAAAAAAAAGAAAAAAAAAAAGAAAGAATGGAGTAACCAAAGTCAACGCACTTCTAGCAGAAGGGTTTCAATCAGGCACTCATTCAAAAGAGGCATCTCAACACACAAACACACACAAGACACAGCGACACCCGCGAAAGGACAGGCGCACACAAGCCGGCCATGTGGGGACACCCGCCTACCTCCACCCTCCTGATTTCAGGATATTTTCAATTTTCTGTGGGTGGAAAGGGCCGCCCCCGACCTTAGCAGGGGCTGGGAGCTGTCCGCGGTGCTGAAATGCTGGGGACAGCGGGGAGGGAGGGTCTCCTGAAACACGCTCCGCACACACAGCTGCCGACACAGTGACACGCTGACAGAGTGACACACACACACACGCACACACACCTCTGTTGCTCACTCTTGCAGGCACGCTGCGATCCACTGACACACAGTGACTGGCGTGCAGGGACACACACGTCAACTGCGCCCTGGCAGGCGCGCCCTCAGGGGACCCAGACGCAGGAGAATCCCAATACGCAGGAAACAGCAAGAAGGACTCGAACTAGACCAAGGCAGGACTTCCTGAGATCACAGGAGGCAGACTTCCTCCCCAGCCTGCCCCCTGGTTTCCTGAAAACTCCACTCTCCTGCCCTTCTCCCCTGCCAGCCTCTGATCTCAGACCCAGTCTCCTCCTCATCCTGTTTCTCACTGACCCAAACTTTCCCTTCTCTCTGCAGCATCATGAGACCCTCTCCTTCCTGGGTCCGACTCTCTCTCTCCTTCCCTGGGTCCGACTCTCTCTCCTTCCCTGGGTCCAACTCTCTCTCTCTTCCATACGTGTCTTTATTGCCTCTGTGTCTACCTTTCAGTCTCCCTCCATCGCAGTCTCTTAATATCCATCTCTCTGCCTCTGTGTCTCTTCCTTTTGTGTCTTTTTTGTTTTTTTGAGACAGGGTTTTGCTCTTGTTGCCCACACTGGAGTGCAATGGTGCAATCTCAGCTTACTGCAACCTCCACCTCCTGGGTTCAAGCAATTCTCCTCTCTCAGCCTCCCGAGTAGCTGGGATTACAGGCGCTGCCACCACGCCCGGCTAATTTTTGTATTTTTAGTAGAGATGGGGCTTCAACATATTGGTCAGGCTGGTCTCAAGCTCCTGGTCTCAGGTGATCCACCCACCTCGGCCTCTCAAAGTACTGGAATTACAGGCGTGACCACCTGACCTCTAAATTCCTGTCTTTCTGTGTCCGTCTCTCTACTCTGTCTCTGTTTCTCTCTCCAGTTCTCGCTGTCATTCTGTCTTCAGCTCTCCCTGGGTCTATCTCTAAGTCTCTGTCTCTGTGTCTCTCGTGCTCTCCCTGCCACCCCATCTCTGTGTGTCTCTCCTCCATCTCTGAGTTGGTCCTCCAGCCTAGCTGCTTCAAAGTGCCTCTAATCAGCGCCTGCCCATCAGAGGAAGGATGAGTTTCCGTAAACACTAATTAGACTCCTGTTCGCTGTCTTCTGAAGCGGCAGCTAGGAGCTGGGGTGGGGAGTGGGGGGACAGAAGGTGTCCCAGCCTGGGGAAGCTGTGTGGGGGAGGAGAGGGCCTATGGGGTTGCAGCAGCAGGAAAGAAGCAGGTTAAACTACAAGAAGGATGGAAGAAGCAGAAAGAAAACTCTCTCCATTCCCCCTATCTCTTGGGTGTGAGAGAGGGGGCTGGGATAGTGCCTCTCACAGTCCTGAACCCAAATTCTCAACAACCCTAAGAGGGAGACCAAGCCAGACAGAGAGAGAGATGGAAAGGTGTGGAGAGTGTGTCTGAAATATAAGATGAGTGCAAAGAGCGAGGTGCTGGGGACAGAGAGCCACAGATGAACAGAGATGCAGAGACTCAGAGAGAGACCGCCCAGGGAGGGAGAGATGCAGAGATGCAGAGGGAGAGATGGCGAGACAGCGAGCGCTGTGAGAAGCTGAGCGCTGCCGGAGGCGGAGGCGCAGAGGCTGGGAAGAGGAGGGAGGGGGAGCGCGGTGGGGACTCCGCTTGAGTAGGAGGCGCGTGGGCGGCACGGAGGAGGGAGACAGACGGGGAGTGCGGGGGTGGAGGGTAGCTGGCAGAGGAGGGGCAGGCGCTGCCTGCATCTTGACCAGGCGGGTGGGGGAAGGTGAGGCTGCAGACACACGTTGGGGGACACTCAGGCATCTGTGTAAGGAATGGCCGGGGCTCTGGGCGTGAGAGCAGCCTTGACCCTATAATTTAGTGTACACATCTGTGACTTTATATGTGTCCACATGTGGCTTTTTTAAAATTATTTTTTTATTTACAGAGACAACGTCTCGCTGTCTCCCAGGCTGGAGTGCAGTGGCTTGATCACAGCTCTCACACCTAGCCATCCTCCTGCCTTGGCTTCCGAAGTAGCTGGGATCACAAGTGCGCACCACCATGCCCAGCCACTTTTAACAAAAAGTAGAGGCTGCTCTCCAACTCCTAGGCTCGAACCATCCTCCCGCCTCAGTCTCCTAAAGTGCTGGAACTACAGGTATGCGCCACCACTAATTTCAAAAAATTACTTTTAGTGTAGGAGTTCTGCTATGTTGCCAAGGCTGTCTCGAACCCCTGACCTCGAATGATCCTCCTGCCTCGCCCTCCCAAAGCGCTGGGATTACGGGCGTGAACCACCAAGCCTGGCCGTGTCTATGTGTGTGTGGTGCGTATAAACGGCTTTGTGTCCGATCTGTAAACGTCTGTCTACATGTGTGTGTCTGCGTGTATCCAGTCAGCCCACCTCCCCACACCCCATTTTCCCAAATCCCAGCCCTCAGGCTTCCCATTGTCACCCCAGGTCCTGCCTTGCCTTCCCAGGCCCCCAGATTCCCGCACCATCTTTTCCCAAAGCCTCACCCACCTTCCCCTTGGTGCCCCGCTACTTCCCCAGTTTCCTCCTCTCATCCAGAAGCCCCACCCCTTCCCTAGCTCTGCCTCCCCATGTCCCACCCATCTCGTTAGGCCCCGCCTTCTTCCTCAGCCCACATCCATTTTCCCATTTCCTGGCGCCCTGTGAACAAACCCAGACCCCACCCATCACCCTGGACCCGCCCCTTCTTACAGCCACATGCAACGTCTCACCTCGACAGGCCTCTCCCCACATCTTCCCTGAACCCTCTTCTTCAGGACTCACTCCACCAGCTACCAATTAAGGCCCCACACCCCTCTCGCCAGGCCCCTATCCCATCTCTCTTCACCTTGCCCACCCTTCCTCCTTGGGACCCTCTTCACCTGTTCGGCTGCCTCTCTGAGCCTCGCCTCTTTATTTCACAGTCACAATCCCATCAGGCCCTACCCACATTGTGGACACAGCTCACCCACGCCCGGCCCCTCTCGAGGCTCAGCCCACTTTTGAACACAATTAACTCAGGCCCCTCCCCTCCTGAGGACCCACCAGGCCCAGCCCTTTGGAGCACTGGTTAGTTAAGCCCCGCCCACGTCGTGGGCATGGGTCACATGCCCCTCCCACTTTCCGGGCGCCGCTCACAGGCCCCGCCCCACCCTTGAGCCCTATCAGGCCCCGCCCATTTCGGAGCCCCGCCCCTCTCCGGGCCGCCGCGGGCGCGCTCACATGGTCTCGTCGTCGCCAAACTCCAGCTCTCCGCACGCGTCCTCGTAGTGCACCCCGCCGCCGCGCGCCGTGCCGTCCACCGTGCGGTAAGGGAGGCGCACGGTGCCGCGCGCGCCCGAGCTGCGCACGACGCGCACGTCCACGGTGCCCATGCACTCGCTCACGTGCAGCAGGCGGTCCTGGAAGGAGAAGATGCCCGCGTGGTCGTCGTCCAGGATGGTGACGGTGGCCAGCAGGGGCGCCACCAGCCGCCCTTTGGGCCGCCCGCCGCCGTCGGGCTCGAACATGCCCTGCGCGTCGCCCACGCGCAGGTTCAGCAGCCGCACGAAGAAATGCTCGTCCTCCTCGAAGATGTCGTCGTCGATGATGCCGATGCGCAGCTCCTTCTGCGTCTCGCCTGGCTTGAACACCAGCGTGCCCTCGCTGCGGCAGGGTGGGGAGGGGGAAGAGCGGGGTGAGGGTCGGTCACCGGCTATGTGTTGTAGGGGGTGGGGGGAGTCTGGACGTGCTTGCCACAGGAGAACTCCCAAGTATGAGAATTGACAGGCACTAAACAAGCACTGACGTGAATCAGGGTGGGCGTCCTGGAGGAAGGGCTGCAGAATGGGAACAAGACAGAGTGGGCCCCTCCCTGCCGTGGAACTTGTGAGGAGAGAAGGCGGGCATTAAACAGATAAGGATAAGGCTGAGATGAGGGCAGGCTTCCTGGAGGAGGCATTAGCGGGCATACTCCAGGCAGAGGGAATAGCACATGCGAAGTCCAAGAGTTGAGAGGGAGCATGGGCGGGCGCGGTGGCTCATGCCTGTAATCCCAGCACTTTGGGAGGCCGAGGCAGGTGGATCACGAGGTCAAGAGATGGAGACCATCCTGGTCAACACGGTGAAACCCTGTCTCTACTAAAAATACAAAAAATTAGCTGGACATGGTGGCGCGTGCCTGTAATTCCAGCTACTCAGGAGGCTGAGGCAGGAGAATTGCCTGAACCCAGGAGGCAGAGGTTGCAGTGAGCCGAGATCGCGCCATTGCACTCCAGCCTGGGTAACAAGAGTGAAATGCCGTCTCAAAAAAAAAAAAAAAAAAGAAAGAAAGAAAGAAAAAGAAAATGCAGAGTCTGGTTCAGAAGCTTCTGGGTTTCCTGGAATCTCATTTTTTTTTTGAGATGGAGTCTCGCTCTGTCACCCAGGCTGGAGAGCGGTGGCATGATCTCAGGTCATTGCAATCTCCGCCTCCCTGGTTCAAGCAATTCTCCTGCCTCAGCCTCCCAAGTAGCTGGGATTACAGGCATGAGCCACCACACCTGGCTAATTTTTTTTGTATTTTTAGTAGAGGTGAGGTTTCACCATATCGGCCAGGCTGGTCTCGAACTCCTCACATTGTGATCTGCCCCCCTCAGCCTCCCAAAGTGATAGGATAACAGGCATGAGTCACCGAGCTCGGCCTAGAATCAATTTTTTTTTTTTGAGACAGTTTCAGTTTCGCTCTTGTTGCCCAGGCTGGCACGATCTCAGCTCACCACAACCTCTGCCTCCCTGGTTCAATTGATTCTCCTGCCTCAGCCTCCCTAGTAGCTGGGATCGTAGGCATGAGCCTCCACGCCCTGCTAATTTTGTATTTTTAGTAGAGATGGGGTTTCTCCACGTTGGTCAGGTTGGTCTCAAACTCTTGACCTCAGGTGATCCGCCCACCTCGGCTTCCCTAAGTGCTGGGATGACAGGCGTGAGCCACCACACCCGGCTATTATTGCATTTCTAACGAGCTCCAGGGACTGACCTGGTCACATTTTGAGTGGCAGGGATATAGGACCCGGAAAGGATCCTGTCATTCCTCTGATAAAAACCCTTCCCAGATGCCCCCAAGAGAATGTTCATATGCCTTAACTTGGCATCATTCATTCATTCAACAAACACTCCTAAGAGCACCTGTTCTGTGCCTTGTGCAGAGTGGTGCTGGGGACACAGCAATAACTAGGCCCTGTCCTCACAGGGTTCACAGCCCCATGGGAGAGCCATATCACCATGACAATTGCACATCTAATGATTTAATTATGGTTCATTCATTCAACAGATACTGAACGTTGTGTGCCAGGCATTGTTCTAAGTGTTGGGGGCACAGCGGCAAGCAGCAGCTCTGAGCTTCTGTTTTAGTGCAGAAGATTGAGCAGTAAACAAACAGAATGTCAGGTGGTGATGGTGCTATTGAGACCAACAGTCAGGAGGGTAAGGAGTGAGGGGAGGGAGCTGTTGCTGTGGTCAAGAATGCCTTTTGGAGGACGGAACATTTGAGCAGAGATCTGAAGGAGGGGAGGGAGTGAGCCATGGGGAGGCTGCCTAGAAACATGTTTTTTTTTTTTTAATATTCTATGAATAGTTTATTGATAAGAGATAATAAATGACGGGGAATTGCTAAAGATTTGTTTTGTTTTTTTGAGAGGGAGTCTCAGTCTGTCGCCAGGCTGGAGTGCAGTGGCGGGATTTCTGCTCACTGCAACCTCCCCTCCCAGGTTCAAGGGATTCTCCCACCTCAGCCTCCCTAGTAGCTGGGACTACAGATGCCCACCACCATGCCCAGCTAGTTTTGTGTACTTTTTGTAGAGATGGAGTTTCACCATGTTGGCCAGGCTGGCCTCAAACTCCTGACCTCAAGTGATCCACCTGTCTTGGCCTCCCAAAATGCTGGGATTACAGGCGTGAGCCACCTTGCCTGACCAAAAGAGTATTTTTGGTAAAGGGAACAGGCAATGTGAATGCTCTGACCTGGAGCTGGACAGCTGGACAGGATCTGACATGAAGCAGGGACAGCTCACCTGCTCAAGAAACCGCAGGGAGACCAGCATGATGGCGGTGGGAGCCAGGGTGAGAGGGTGGGAGATGGTGGCACAGAGCAAACAGGGGCAGATCTCCTAGGGCCTGGGTGGGCCACGGTGAAGACTTCTGCATTCACCCTGAGTGAGGCGGGAGCCCGGGAGGCTTCCGAGCAGAGGAGGGACATTCCGAGCGGAGGACAGACGTGAGCTGGCTCAGTCCATCCTTTAAAAGAGCAACGGTGGTGTAAATCTCTGAAGCACCCACAAGGTACTCTGTCATGGGGGGAGCCGGGGAGGGAACAAGGCAGTGACATTAGATGAGTCAGGGTGAAAGTCTGAGGGTCATGGAGTAAGGGGGCTTTCCTGGAAGGGCTACAGACATCAGCATGACTCTGGGATGTTTAGGAATCTTGAAAATCTCTCCTTTCCTCTAAGCCTTTCCACCATCTCTGAACTCCTGCTACATGATCCATACGCATTCACTATCACTTTCACATTAAAGGGGTTCTGGGGCCGGGCGTGGTGGTGCAAGCCTGTAATCCCAACACTTTGGGAGGCCGAGGCAGTTGATGACTTGAGGTCAGGAGTTCGAGACCAGCCTGGCCAATATGGTGAAACCCCGTTTCTACTAAAAATAGAAAAATTAGCAGGGTGTTGTGGTGCATGCCTGTAGTCCCAGCTACTCCAGAGGCTGAGGCAGGAGAATCATTTGAACTGGGGAGGCGGAAGTTGCAGTGAGCCAAGATTGCACTACTGCACTCCAGCCTGGGCGACAGAGTGAGACTCCACCTCAAAAGAAAAGGTGTGTGTGTCAGGGGGGTTGGGCTCCAGTTCTCCAGCTCTGTGGGAGGAAGGCAGGGACCCCAAGGTTCTGGCAAAGAGGTAGGGGGTGTAGAACCAGAGGGTGTAGAACGGGACCTGCAGTGAAGGGACAGGGGAGTCCCCCAGCTTAGGATTCGCTGTCCGTGGTGGTGGGGCACCCAGAAGGGTGGGCTGACCTGCTCTAAGCCTAGCTCGGCTACCATGCCAGCTGTGTGATCTTAGGCAGTCAAGATTCTGCCGTCCTCTGAGCCTCGGTTTCCTTTTCTGTGGAATGGGCTAAGAATAGTGTTTACCTCCTGGTGCTGTGGTGAGGACTGAATTGATACAGGGGAAGCACCCAGAGGCACAGCGAAAACAATGACAGTTAGCTAGTGATATTCACATATTAATATTAGAATCTTAGGGTCCTAGAGCTGCGGGATGGGAGACATTTAGACATAAGGGATAAAGGGATCAGTAGAATGTGGAGATTGTAGCACCATCTTTTGTGTGTGTGTGTGTGCAGTTGCACAATCCCAGCTCCCTGCAGCCTCAACCTCCTGGGCTCAAGCCATCTTCCCTCCTCAGCCTCCTGAGCAGCTGGGACTACAGGCATGTGCCACCACACCTGGCTAATTTTTATACTTTTTGTAGAGATGGGGTTTTGCCATGTTGCCCAGGCTGGTCTTGAACTCCTGGACTCAAGCAGTCCGCCGACCTTGGACTTCCAAAGTGTTGGGACTGCAGAGGTGATCCACCGCGTACATGCTGCGGCGTCATCTTTGCCAAACAATCCAGAGATTTAGCACCATCTTTACCAAACAACTAAACTGGGCATCGCAGTAATGGACGAGCGGACATCACGTTCCTCCTGATACAATGCATGCAGAGGGATAGAGCATCACTTCCATGGGATTCCTGCCAAAGGTGCAGGACTCTCATCATCAGGAAGCATGAGACAAACCCAGACTGAGAATCATTCTAGTAACTGGCCTATCATCCTCTAAAGCATCAGGTCACGAAAGTCACGGGAAGGCTGAGAAATGGATCCAGACAAGGAAATGCAACGTGTGGTTCTGGATCAAGTGGGAAGAGAGGGAAGGAGTGAAAACGCAGCCGCCAAGGACATTACAGGGATGACTGGCGAAATGCAAACACGGGGTGTGTATCACTCAATGGATATTGAGTTAACAGTATCAGTTCAACATTAGATTTCTTGAGTGAGACCATAGCATTATGATTAGGTAGGAGAACGCCATTATTCTTAAAAGATGTATGCTCAGGCCGGGCAAGGTGGCTCATGCCTGTAATTCCTGCACTTTGGGAGGCTGAGGTGGGTGGATCACCTGAGGTCAGGAGTTCGAGACCAACCTGGCCAACATGATGAAACCCTGTCTCTACTAAAAATACAAAAAATTAACTGGTTGTGGTGGCACACACCTACAATGCCAGCTACTTAGGAGGCTGAGGCAGGAGAATCACTTGAACCCAGGAGGCAGAGGCTGTAGTCAGCTGAGATGGTGCCACTGCACTCCAGCCTGGGCAACAAGAGCAGAATTTTGTCTCAAAAAAAAAAAAAAAAAAAAGCATGCTCAAGTATTTAGGCATGAAGTTCATGGTATTTGCAACTCACTGTCACGGAGTGCCACAATTATTATTATTATTATGTTATTATTTTGAGACAGAGTCTGGCTCTGTCACCCAGGCTGGAGTGCAGTGGCACAGTCTTGGCTCGCTGCAACCTCTGCCTCCTTGGCTCAAGCGATTCCCCGACCTCAGCCCCCACCCCATCCCCGCCCCTCTCAGTAGCTGGGACTACAGACACACGCCACTATGCCCAGCTAATTTTTTTTTTTTTGAGAAAGTGTCTTGCTCTGTCTCCCAGGCTGCGGTGCAGTGGCACGATCTTGGATTACAGGCATGCACCACCATGCCTGGCTAAATCTTGCATTTTTAGTAGAGACAGGGTTTTGCCACGTTGGCCAGGCTGGTCTCAAACTCCTGACCTCAGGTTGGAGTTGATCCATCTGCCTCGGCCTCCCAAAGTGTGGAATGACAGGCGTGAACCACCACGCCCAGCCCCCAATAATTAACATTATTAAATATTAAAGAGAGAATAAAAGCAAACAGGATAAAATGTGAACAACTGGTGAATGTGGATGAAGGTGATAGCACAGGTCGTCAATCTGTGTGTAGCCCTGCTGCAGGTGTGAAGGCTTTCACAATAAAAGAGGGTGTGGCGGCTGTAGTCCCAGCTACTCAGGAGGGCGAGACAGGAGGATCACTCGAGCCCAGGGCTTTGAGTCCAGTCAGAGCAGCATAGCAAGACCCTGTGTCTAAGAAAAAAAGAGTTTGGCTTAGCTGGGCGTGGTGGCACACACCTGTAATCCCAGCTACTGGGGAGGCTGAGGCAGGAGAATCGCCTGAACCCGGGAAGTGGAGGTTGCAGTAAACTGAGATGGCACCACTGCACTTCGGCCTGGACAACAGAAGGAGACTCTGTGTCAAAAGAAAAAAAAAAAGAGTTTGCGCCAGGCACAGTGGCTCACGCCTGTAATCCCAGCACTTTGGGAGGCTGAGGCAGGTAGATCACCTGAGGTCAGGAGTTCGAGACCAGCCTGACCAATGTAATTAAACCCCATCGCTAGTAAAAATAGAAAAAACTAGCTGGGTGTGATGGCAGGTGCCTGTAATCCCAGCTACTCGGGAGGCTGAGGCAGGAGAATCGCTTGAACCTGGGAGGCGAAGGTTGCAGTGAGCCGAGATCACACTACGGCACTCCAGCCTGGGTGACAAGCGCAAAAGTCCGACTCCAAAAAAAAAAAAAAAGAAAAGAAAAAAGAAAAAGAAGGAAATAAAGAGAAAGAGAGAGAGAGAAAGAAGAGGGGAGGTGAGGGGATGGGATGGGAGGGGAGAGGTAGGGAGGGGAGAGGAGAGCAAACTGGCCCCAGGAAGAGAATGGTTAAGAGATGAGGGATTGGCTGCTAGTTGGTGGCAGAACCAAGGATCTGGGAAGAGTTTAGCCTCAGCTGTATCCCAGGGAGGAGATTAAAGGGGATGTGCCAGGCTACTGAGCATGTAGAACCTCTGAAAAACTCAGCCACTGGCACTCTTTCTCCCTGTCTCCTGATTTATTTTTCTTCACAGCTCCTACCACTACCTGGCATTTTAAGGTAATCGGTGTTTACTTCCTAATGGCCTGTCTTTCCCAGGAGAATGTGAGCTCCATTTGGGCAGGGACTTTATGAGTTCTATTCAGTGACAGATCTGGTTTTTTATCTGTTTCTTGCACATAGTAGACACACGATAATTGTCATTATGGGAAAGGGGAATTTGACACACATGAATTAACAATGCGTACTGTTTAAAGCATTAAGAAGGCTGGTGAAAATCATTTGAAAGAACATACTGTAAAGCTCTAAGTCTTAAAAGAGTGTGGCATCGACAGAAGAACTACAAATAGATGAAGAACTTTGTGGGCCACGTGAGGACAGAGATCTTATCTATCTTGGTTATTGTTCTAGGTTAATCCTTTAAGGCTCTGGCACACAGTAGGTGCTCAGAAGGAACTGTTGAATGAGAGAATATCACAGATCTTCAAGGACAGGGGTAAGGATAGGAACTGGGATTGTGAGATATGGTAGAGGGTGATGGGTGTGTTGCTTTATGGGGGAACCAAAGGCCTTTAGCCGTTGTCTCTCTCCTCCTGTCCTTTTTTATTTTCCTCCATAGGACTTATTGCCACTTCAAGTTTTTATATGTTTAGTAGTTTATATCCTCTTTGCAGTTTGAGGGAAGGGACCTCAGCTGTCTTGTTCCCCATGGTATACATGGTATACCCACTAGCATATAGTGTGTGCTCAATAAGTATTATTACTTAGTAATGGTGGGAGAAGGCTTGTCCTACCAGGTAGCAATACACATAACGGAGCTCTAATAATTAAAACAGTGTGGCATTGGCACAAAACCACAGACAGACAAAGAATGTAGGAGGAGGGGTGTGGAGACAGAGTTTGTCTCATTCATCATATGCACTGAGTGCCTGGGGGCAGCATATGGCACATGGTAGGTGCCCACTAAACATTAATGTTCTATGCACATGAGGAGACATCTGTTTTACCAAACAATAAAACATAGAACATGGCCAGGAGATGATGGCTCACACTTGTAATCCAAGCACTCTGGGAGACTGAGACGGGTGGATCACTTGAGGCCAGGAGTTTGAGACCAGCCTGGCCAACACGGCAAAACTCTATCTCTACTAAAAGTGCAAAAATCAGCCGGGCATGGTGGCACATGCCTATAATCCCAGCAACTCAAGGGGGTGAGGCATGATAATCACTTGAACCTGGGAGGCAGAGGTTGCCATGAGCTGAGATCGGGCCAGTCACTCCAGCCTGGGCAACATGTGAGACTCTGTTTCCAACAAACAAACTGAAAACACCCAGAGGTAGACAATGAAGGCGGGAGGGGTAGCCTTCCCATAGCCATGCGCTCTGCCCGGCCCAGTGGTGTGTGCCCCAGGTCTAGAACAGGGACTGGCACAGAGCAAGATCTCAGGAATGAATGAATGAGTGAATGAGTGATGAATGAATGAGCAAATGAATGAATGATGAATGAGCGAATGAATCAGTGAATGAAAGAATGAATAAATGAGTGAATGAATGAGAGAATCAGTGAGCGAGCGAATGAATCCTGCAGGAGGCAGTCGGGAGGCCCTGAGCCTGGAGGCTGCAGCACATCGGGACTAACGGCGGCCCTGCACCCCGGCCCCGCCCCCTGCCCCCCTGCCCGCCCCCCGCTCCCACCCGGCACCCCCACCCGCGGCTCCCACCTGTACTCATAGTCGGAGCCCGCCTTGGCCGAGCCGTCCTCGGTGCGGTAGTCCACGTAGAACGTGCTGTTGCCCTCGCCGCCCTGGCACGTGACGGACAGCAGCACGGAGCCGCAGTTCTCCAGGCAGTGGTAGAGGCTGGGCTCGAAGAAGATGCGGCTGGCGCCGTCGTCCTCGTCCTCGCCCGCGCCCTCGGCCGGGGCCGCCCTGCGCGACGCGTCGGCCGCGTGTCTGCGGAGCACGTTGCCCGCGCCGGTCATGAGCCGCGTGGCCTGGATGCGGTAGAAGGCGCGGCTCTTCTGCTGGTGCAGCAGCGCGTAGTAGTTGGCGATGCCCACCAGCTGCTCCAGGTCCTTGTCCGGGTGCTTCTGCTTCAGGTCCTTGAGGATCTGGATGACCTCGCGGCGGCTGGCGTCCAGCTCGCGCGCCTCGGCGGGGCCCGCGCCCAGCCCGCCCAGCTCGCCCCCCGGGGCCTCGGCGGCGCCCACGAACGTGCCGTCCAGCTCGATGCTCTTCGGGGGGTCGCCCTCGGCGCCGATGATGATGCCGCTGCGCGGGTCGGTGCGGTAGCGCTTGTACACGTACTTGTAGAAGAGCAGCCGCTTGTCGGCCATCCAGGCGAACACCACGCACACCGGGAAGAAGACCAGGGTCAGCAGCGCCTCCCACACCTGCGGGCGGCGGGCGTCAGGCGGGCGGGCGGCCTCCAGCTCGGCTCCCTCCCCGGCCGCTCCTAGTCCCTCACCAGGCCCCAGCCCCGCCGGCTCTCCCCACTTCCTGTCTCTCTTCATCTCTGCCTCTCCCCATGTCTCTCGTTCTCTTCCCATTTCTGTCCCCCTCTCCTTCCCCATCTGTGTCCTTCTCTCTCTGACTCTCCCTTTTTGGTTCTGTCTCTGTTCATCTCTGCCTCTCCCCATCTCTCTCTCTCCCTCTCCTTCCCCATCTCTCTCCATCTCGTTCTCTCTCTGTGTCCTTTTTGTCTGTCTCTGTTTGGCTCCTGCCTCTCCCCATGTCTGGACATGTCTCCTTGTCCTTCTTTGTACCTTTTTATTTCTTAATCGGGTGACATATACCTTTTGGTAGCTATCCATCCCGTCCCTTGTGTGTCTCTTTCTCTCTCAGTATCTGTGCTTCTCCAGGGGTACTTTTTCCCTCTCCGAGTCTCCGTTCCTCTCTCCTTTCCCGTCCTTCTCTTATTTTCTATCTCCCTCTTGTCTCTGTTCACCTCTGCCTCTCCCCATCTCTCTTGCCATCTCTCTCTCATTTCTCCCACCCCTTTCCAGCTCACTCTGTCTCCATCCCTCCCTCCTGTCTCCGCTCACCTCGGCCTCTCCCCACCCCCCTTTCTCTCCTTCTCATCTCTTTCTCTGCTCCTCACATATTCTCAATTTCCCTCTTATCTCTGTTCACCTCTGCCTCTCCTCCTCTCTCTCCCTCGCTTTCCTCCCATCCCTTTTTACCTCTGTCCTCCCTTTTTGTCTCTGGCCTCTCCCCATCCCCCCAGGTTTCTCTCTCTCCATCTCGTTCTATCTCTCTTTCCCTGTTCGTCCCTGTCTCTCTCCGTTGCTGTGTCTTCTGCTGTCTCTTTCTCTCCTTGCCTCTGTCTCTGCTTTTCTTAGTCTTTCCTCCTCCTCTTTCTCTCTTCCTGGCTCCCTCTTTTCCTGCTGCCTGGGTCTCCTTCTCTCCACGTCCTTCTTTTAGTAGATATCCATCTCCCTCCCTTATGAGTTTCTTTCTCTTTATCAATATCTGTGTTTCTCCAGAGCTACTTTTCCCTCTGTCTCCCTCCCTATTGCTGTCCCTGTGTGTGTGTGTGCGCGTGTGTGCATGTGGTGCATGTGCATGTGTGCATGTATATGTGCGTGTGTGCGCACAGGTGTGTGCATGTGCATGTGCATGCATGTATGTGTGCACACGTGTGTGCATGTATGTGTACACGTGTGTGCATGTATGTATGCATGCATGTGTGTGTGCATGTATATGTGCGCATGCGTGTGTGCGTGCATGTGTTCTCTCTCTCTCCTGGTCTCCTCATTCATCCATCTATCCACTTTTTACACTCTGAGAACCACGCCTGGCTGCCCAGGTGCCAGGAACCCAGACATCCTCAGCCACTGCCAAGCAACAGACACATCCCCACGCTGTGGTCCCAGCTGCTGTCAAGGGACAGAGCTTGTGTCTCTTCTGGCCTCTCTCTCCCTCCATCTTTTTTCTGCCTGCTGCATTTCTCCCCAGTCACCTGGGGGTGCCTCCACTTCTACAAACCTTGCCCATTATCCCAGGCCTGCTCTCCATTCACCAAATGCCCTCAGTTCCCCACCCACACCCCCCTCCAGTGCCTCCTTAGCCTTCGCCTGGCCCTCAGGGACAGAGCTCTGCCTCAAACAGAGACGCACATGCTGTTCATCTGCCTCATAAAACCAGTTCCCATGCACTGCCGGGGCAGCTCTGAGTTGAGAGCCTGCTTTACAACGGGATGGCTGTCTCGTCTCTTGGTCTATAAAATGGGGACATTTCCAAGACTGAATGAGCACATGCATCCCTGGTGCACAGCATTCTCAGTTTCTGACACATGGAAAAGACGTGACACTGACATTGCCCAGCTGAGCGCAACAGCTCACGTCTGTAGTCCCAGCACTTTGGGAAGCTGAGGCGGGTGGATCACCTGAGGCCAGGAGTTCGAGACCAGCCTGGCCAGCATAGTGAAACCCCCTCTCTACTAAAAATACAAATCAGCCAGGTGTGGTGGTGTGTATCTGTAATCCCAGGTACACGGGAGGCTGAAGCAGAACTGCTTGAACCCAGGAGTCGGAGGTTGCAGTGAGCTGAGATCACACCACTGCACTCCAGCCTGGGTGGCAGAGTAAGACTCCATCTCAAAAAAAAAAAAAAAAAAGAAGAAAAAGAACCTTGCCATCATTATTTAGTGCTGTTATCTTGGCTCACAGACCCAGGCTCAGTCTGCTGATGGGCCACCACAGGCCACAGCACATGAAAAGCATCTGCCAATACTCAAGGGTGTGGCTTGAAGGTACTCATGGAAAGACTCTCATGAAAGATGAAGAGGAAAAGAGTAAAGAGTATTTACAATCCGAAAGCCCCAAAGCCAGGCATGGTGGCTCACGCCTATAACCCCAGCCCTCTGGGAGGCTGAGGCGGGTGGGTCTCTTGAGCTCAAGAATTTGAGACCAGCCTGGCCAACATGGTGAAACCCTGTCTCCACTAACAATACAAAAATTATCCAGGTGTGGTGGTATGCGCCTGTCATCCCAGCTACTCGGGAGGCTGAAGCAGAAGAATAGCTTCAATCTGGGAGGCAGAGGTTGCAGTGAGCTGAGATCGCGCCACTGCACGCCAGCCTGGGGGACAGAGTGAACTTCTGTCCTGAAAAAAAAAAGGCAGCCCTGAAGTATGTTAAAAACCAGCCTGGTAGGAAAAATATCGAAGCTGCAGCGGTCACACCCACCATCGCCGTGTTTACTGATGGCTCGGAGAACACACGAGTCTTGCACATAGTAAAACTGCATGAAGCCAACAGGCAGATTTGGGAAACGAAGCTGAATGTTTTCAGCGCAAGCTGTGAAATGAACTCTCTCCCTTGTACTAATTGAACCTACCACTATGTATATTGCAAGGGAGTCTCTATTCATCAGAAGACAATCCCAAACCCTTAAGATTTCCCTTCCTCCCACGGGTAAATAAAACGTGTTCCTGGCTGATTGGCAACGCCTTTCTAGAACACCCACTGGGAGTGTGCCCAGCCTGGGAAGGCACGGTGACATTTTCAGGTCTCAGTGGAGCAGGCGCACCCCTGAGATAGAGTATTGGAAACCTGAGGGTGTTTATGGGTTTCTGTCATAACTAGGGAGGGGGACATGGTCTTGGCCTTTCATGGCCTGAGGACATCCAGTAACTAATGGGACGGTCCCACACAATAGAGAAATGTCCCATATGCCGGCTCATTTCAGAACCTGCCACTAATGTTCTTATCCGTGAAAACCCTGTTGATGACAGTTAGAATTTATAACTCTGTTTTATGTGTATCTTTTTTTTTTTTTTTAGACAGTTTTGCTCTAGTTGCCCAGGCTGGAGTGCAATGGTGCAATCTCGGCTCACTGCAACCTCCGCCTCCCAGGTTCAAGTGATTCTCCTGCCTCAGCCTACGAGTAGCTGGGATTACAGGCATGCACCACTACACCCAGCTAATTTTGTAGTTTTAGTAGAGATGGGTTTCTCCATGTTGGTCAGTCTGGTCTCAAACTCCTGACCTCGGGTGATCTGCTCACCTCGGCCTCCCAAAATGCTGGGATTACAAGCATCAGCCATTGCACCTAGCCTATGTATATCTTTTCTTAATTTTTTCTTTTTGAGATGGAGTCTCACTCTGTCACCCAGGCTGGAGTGCAATGGCCTGATCTCAGCTCACTGCAACCTCCACCTCCCAGGTTTAAGTGATTCTCCTGCCTCAGCCCCCAAGTAGCTAGAATTACAGGTGCCTAGCTAAGGTTTGTATTTTTAGTAGATGGGGTTTCACCATGTTAGTCAGGCTGGTTTTGAACTTATGACCTTAGGTGATCCTCCCGCCTCAGCCTCCCAAAGTGCTGGGATCACAGGCATGAGCCACCATGCCCAGCCAATTTTCTAATTTTTTGAGACAGGGTCTGGTTCTGTCACCCAGGCTGGAGTACAGTGATACCACCTTGGCTCCCTGCAACCTCCACCTCCCAGGTTCAAGCCATCTTCCTGCCTCAGTTTCCTGAGTAGCTGGGACTACAGGCAGGCCCAGTACCCCAGGCTAATTTTTGTATTTTTTGTAGAGACTGGGTTTCACCACATTACCCAGGCTGGTCTTGAACTCCTGGGTTCAAGTGATCCACCTGCCTTGGCCTCCCAAAGTGCTGGGATTACAGGTGTGAGTCACCGCGCCCGGCCTTATGTATATTTTATATGAAGTGTTTTTCTGTATGGTTTCACATAATCAAATGCCCTTGTTTCAAATCTCGTGACTACCCGCTCCTCTGCCTAGACTTCTTGCAAGAAATGGTTTCTGAGCTTTTTCTTTCTCTGAAGCCCAGCTTATTCATTATAATAGGCGCCTGCATCTGGCTCCCTTGTCTTGAGGGTAGTTGTTCTGTTAGAAACCTTGTCTTTAGGCTGGGCACGGTGGCTCATATCTGTAATCCCAGCACTTTGGGAGGCTGAGGCTTGAGGTTGGGAGTTTGAGACCAGCCTGGCCAACATGGCAAAACCCCGTCTCTACTAAAAATACAACAATTAGCTGGGCATTGTGGCATGCACCTGTAGTCCCAGCTATTCTGGAGGCTGAGGCAGGACACTTGAACACAGGAAGCAGAGATTGCAGTGAGCCAAGATCATGCCACTGCACTCCAGCCTGGCTGACAGAGCAAGACTCCGTCTCCAAAAAAAAAGAAAAAGAAATCTTTTCTTTGTAACACAGTTTGGACATTATACTGAAGTTTTGGGACGCAAACATATAGGCCAGTCTGTTAATGAGCAGAAAACCTTCCCTCTGTTCCAGGCAGGCTGTTCTAAGTCTTTCCACACAGAGCAGTTGAGTTAATCCTCATGGCAGCGCTGAGCAGTCAGCACTCTCACGAGCCCCATCTTACAGGAGAGGAAACTGAGGCATGGAGAAAGTAAGGAACCTGCTCTAGGTCACACAGTCAGGGCAGAGGTGGGGTCTGGGTCTCTGGCTTCAGGTGCATGGACCAAACTCTGAGGCTAGAAGATCTCTCTTCCATTGCCTAAGAATTTCACATCAGCAGAAATCAAGGGGCTGTAACAAAGTATCTGCTATATTCTGATGCCTTTCTTTCTCTTTCCCTCTTTCTCTTTCCTTCCCTCCTTCTTTCTCTCCTTCTCCCTTTCTTTCTTTTCTTTTCTTTACTTTTCCTTTTCTTTCCTGGAGTCTCGCTCTGTCACCCAGGCTGGAGTGCAGTGGGGCCATCTTGGCTCACTGCAACCCCCACCTCCCTGGGTTCAAGCGATTCTCCTGCCTCAGCCTCCCACGTAGCTGGGACTACAGGTGCACACCACCACGCCCGGCTAATTTTTGTATTTTTACTAGAGATGGGGTTTCACCATGTTGGCCAGGCTGGTCTCGAACTCCTGATCTCAAGTGATCTGCGTGCCTCGACCTCTCAAAGTGCTGGGATGACAGGCATGAGCCTCAAAGGCCTTTTTGAAAGCTGAAGTCAGGACACCATTCCTTTTAACAGCACCTTAAACTGTATGATATATCTCTGCACACCGTCCACCATGGCAGATGGGAACTTCTCTCATCTTTCTCCTCTTTCTGAGCCCTGTCTTCTGGTGCCACTGTCCTCTCCTCTCCTCACTGTGGCTTCTGATCCCTCCATTATATATCCTCCTCCTTCATATAAAATCCACAAAGCAATTTTCTATCTCTAGCTTCAGATCCTTCCCAGGAAGAAACTGTAACTGGCAGAAACCTGACAGATAGGCAAAAATAGATTACACACATGTGTGAATGAGTCCTGGACACCCGCAAATAAATTATGCATGTGTGTGACTGAATTAGGCCAGGCCCATAAATAAATTATGCAAATGGAGGAGGCAGTCATGGGGCTGTGGGAAATACTTCAGGCGAACGAGTTGAGGAAGACTGCACGGTTTGCAGGTGAAGGCACCAGGCGAGCGAAAGGCTAATGATTATAAGAATATTGGTGTAAATTATGCAGCTGTGGGTCTAAATTTTGTCTCGAGACTGGAATGAATTATGCAAAGCGGCCACCGGGCTTATATCGATGCTGGGTTGGAGGGGAGTATACATTACACTGAAGTGGCATAAATTATCCCAGCATCAGAAATTGGCGATGAATAATGAATGAATGATGCAAACCGTGATTACATATCTGGCAGATAGCTAAGTTATGCAGATGTGGGTATGTATCAGGCGAGCCCAGGGATAGATGATGCAGACCGCACCAAGTTACTCAAGCCAATTAGCGATGTCAGAAAACACAAGGCTGGATTATACACAAGGGGAGTACGAATTATGCGAATAGAGGACGTCTTCCTGCAAAAGCGGGAAGAAATTGTGCAAAAGGCAGGGAGCGTAGGAAAGCGTGTGCACACACCTAGCATGCATTGCACACATCACAGGGGCTCTGTCAGTGCATACAACACCCGGGTGGGAGCTAAACGGTGCCCCTTCCAAATGAGCATGCTGTTATTTATTTATTTATCTTTTTGAGACGGAGTCTCGCTCTGTCACCCAGACTGGAGTGCAATGGCGCGATCTCGGCTCACTGCAACCTCTACCTCCAGGGTTCAAGCAATTCTCCTGCCTCAGCCTCCCGAGTAGCTGGGACTACAAGTGCACACCACCATGCCCGGCTAATTTTTTATATTTTTAGTAGAGATAGGGTTTCACCATGTTAGTCAGGATGGTCTCGAACTCCTGACCTCTTGATCTGCCCGCCTTGGCCTCCCTAAATGCTGGGATTATGAGCATGAACCACAGTGCCCGGCCCATGAGCATACTGTTATTAAGTGCAAAACAGTGCCCTCCTCTGGGCAAATAAATGCACCCTCCAGAGATATGGCTGAGCAGCATCAGCAGGACTCCAGCCCCTCCGGCAGGTACCCCGTTTGGCTCAGTTCCCTCGTGCAGCCTGTGACCTGCACGACCGTACCTGGCAGCCCTCTCGGATGTGAGCGTGCGTTTCTGCAAACACACCAATCAACATTCCAAGCCAAGAGCCACCTCTCTGGATGCTGCAGACACACATGCACCAAGGAAGCATCCATGGGTCTTTGCTCACCTGGACTACCCCCGGGGAGAAAACAGCAAGGATGAGATAAAGCCAGACGTAGGCGAAGATGCTCCAAGAGGCAGTGACGAAGAAGACTCTCAGGTGCTTGATCTTGCGGCTCTCGCCGGCCGGGATGACGTAGATGCAGACGGCGATGACCACAAACATGTTGAAGGCAGCGCTGCCCACGATGGTGCCCGGGCCCAGCTCGCCGGCCTGGAAGTTGTGGCCGCAGACCTCGATGACGGACAGCAGGATCTCGGGGGCGGAGGAGCCCAGGGCCATGAGCGTGAGGTTGGACACCGTCTCGTTCCAGATGCGAACGGTGCCCACGCTGGTCTCACCGTTGGCCTTGGTGATGGTGATCTCCTTCTCCTTCGACGTGATGACCTCAATGGCCGCCATGAAGCGGTCGGCGATGATGGACACGCCCAGGAACATGTAGACCATGGCCACGAAGTAGACCACTGCGCGTGCCGCCTTGTCACCCAGTGATGGGTCGTCGGGCTCCCACACGGGCAGCAGCACCCCCGGCTGGCAGCGGTAGGAGCCCTGGCAGCCCCCTGTGCTGGTGTCGCTGTCATTGGCCGGGGGAGGTGGCAGGGAGGGGGTTGGGGTGGCTGCCCCGGAGCATGGGGGAGCCGCCAGGAGGAGCGCGACCCCCACCAAGGCCAGGGGAGCCATGGGGGGTGGTGGGGTCCTACGGGGGAGAGGAGGAGGAGGTCTGGGTGAGGGGAACAAACCCCTTTTTGTCACATAAAGGTCAAAGCTCATTGGGGGAGGAGGGTTGGGGAAGAAGCTGAGGACCAGTGCAGGGAGGATGGGGACAGAGGGTGACAGAGAGACACAGAGACTGAGGGACAGACCCAGAGAGAGAGAGAGTGAGCTGAGATGGCACTACTGTACGCCAGCCTGGGCGACAGAGTGAGACTTCATCTCAAAAACAAACAAACCGAAAAGGAACATTCAGAGCAGCTTTATTTATAATAGCGTCAATCTTCATTTCACTTTATGTTTTTGAAACAGTCTCATACTGTCTACCAGGCTGGAGTGCAGTTGTGTGATCCCGGCTCACTGCCGCTTCCACCTTCCAGGTTCAAGCGATTCTCCTGCCTCAGCCTCCTGAGTAGCTGGGATTACAGGCACCTGCCACCACGCCCAGCTAATTTTTGTATCTTTAGTAGAAATGGGGTTTCACCATGTTGGCTAGGCTCGTCTTGAACTCCTGATCTTGTAATTCGCCTAACTTGGCCTCCCAAAGTGCTGGGATAACAGATGTAAGCCACCACGCCCAGCCGATAGCATCAATCTTGAAACAACCCAGAGGCTTATCAGCAGTAAAATGGAAAAATACATTTGGAGGAATCACCCAGTGGAATATTATAGAGCACTGAAAAGGGAGTGGACTATTTGCTGCTGCACCCACCACACGGATGAATCTCACAGATATCACAGTGGCTGAATGAAGCCAGGAAGAAAAGCACACAGAAGGTAAAATTCACTGTGGGGGGCAGGGAGCAGGTGCCCTGGGTTTGGAGGAGATTCTGACTGTCTCCAGCTGGGCCCTTGGAGAGCTCTTGCTCAGGACTTGGGCTGTGGCGGTGTTGGGGCATGTGTCTGTCTGTTTCAAGTCAGGCTGAGGAGGGGCTTCTGGAGGGTCCCATTCATGTCCCTCCCCAAGGTGGCAGCAAGCATCAGTCTCTCCAGCATTCCTGTGTCTGACCTGGGCTTTTCCCCAGGCTCTGTAAATTTCACAGTTCCTTAGGGGCTGTGGCATCCAAGGTCCTGTGCTAGGCTTTCTTTCCGAATAGTGGGGTGTGGGGGCCCTACTGTTTCATTATTTCTCTCCCTGCCTCTCGTGCTGGGTTTCAGGGGCTATTCCTGTGTCTTATCTGGGTTTCCTTTTAAAACACAAACTGCCAGACACCGTGGCTCACACCTGTAATCCCAGCACTTTGAAAGGCAGAGGCGGGTGGATCACTTGAGGTCAGGAGTTTGAGACCAGCCTGGGCAACATGGTGAAACTCTCCCTCTACTAAAAATAAAATTAAAAAAAAATTAGCCAGGCGTGGTGGCGTGTGCCTGTAATCCCAGCTACTCAGGAGGCTGAGGCAGGAGAATCACTTGAACCTGGGAGGTGGAGGTTGCAGTGAGCCGAGATCGCGCCACTAAACTTCAGCCTGGGCGACAGGGCAAGACTCGGTATCAACAACAACAAGCAATAAAAAGCCCACAAATCAGCTCACATCCTCCCTCCGCTGTTCAGAACCCTCCATGGCTCCCATATCACTCAGAGCAGCAACGTTATCTCCAGGACCCGTGACGCCCTGCACAATCTGGTCCGAATTCCTTTCTGGCCTGTTTTCCTGCACTCCCCGCCTCCCCCAGTCTACCTCCGTCACCGTCTCCTCCCCTCTGCTCCTCAGCCTCACCAGACAAGCTTCTGCCTTGGAGCCCTGGCAGCTGCTGTTCCCCCTTCCTCAGACACACTTCTCTCTATGTATTTTTGAGACAGGGTCTCACTCTGTCACCCAGACCGGAATGCAGTGGCGCAATCACAGCTCACTGCAGCCTCGACCTCCAGGGCTCAAGCGATCCTCCCTCCTCAGCCTCCCAAGGTACTGGAACTGCAGGCATGCACCACCACCACACCCAGCGAATTTTTTGTAGAGCTGGGAGTCTCTGTTGCCCAGGCTGTTCTTGAACTCCTGGGTTCAAGCGCTCCTCCTGCCTTGGCCTCCTAAAGTGCTGGAATCACAGGCGCGTGCCACCGTGTCCCGGGCCCACTCTTCTCCACATGTCCACTAGCCTCGCTCCCTCTTCCCTTTCAGGTTTCCACTCTGATGTGGAAACACCCTATCCAAAATGACACCCTCCCCCTTTGGGGAGCGCCCCTCCACTCCACAGGTGAGAGGGCCAAGGCACAAAGAGGTTACAGAAGCAGCACTCACTCCGGTCCCAAGTTGCCTCTCCAAGAGTGGTCCTGACTCTGAGCTCCTCTGACCCACCCTCGCATTGCCATGGTAACCCAGCATCAAAACAGGAGGGAAGGAGAGAAAAGGGAGGTGTCCTGGGCCTCCACCCTCCCAGACCCCTCTGCCGCCAGCCTCTTCTCCCAGGGACTTTCATTTGCCTGAAAAGTTCTTCTGTGAGTCTAACCCACAGCCTGTCCCCAACTCACACCCACGTACCCACGGGCTTGGAGCTGGCTCCTCTGGGGGAGGGAGGCAGCATGTTGGCAGAACTTCCCAAGAAGGAGAGAGCAAGCGAGGAAAATGCCTGTGTGCCAGTGTGTGTGTGTGTGTGTGTGTGTGCAGGGGCGGGGGAGAGGGGTGATTCTTAAAGGGCCACAGCACAATTAGCCCCCTCGGCAAGGCCCCCTAATGATACGTCTAATTAGCAGCCCCCTAATTAGCAGCAACTTAGGCATAATTACAAGCCCACCAGGATCCAAAGCAAAGACTCATGTTCCCTTCTCCCTCCGCCTCCTCGGCTTTGGCTTTCGGGAGAAACAGGGGCCAGCGGGAGTGGAGAATGCTTCTAAAGCATGGAACTAAATCCTGCTCTCTCCGGAGGGAGCCTCAGCCTGGGAAGTCCTCCCTCGGGTTTAACCACCTGTCCCTCTGGCTGCAGTCCTCCAGGGAGATCAGGGCCAGGTGATGGGGGTTCCCATGTCCACCCTACTAGCCCAGGGGCTGGGTCAAGCACAGCCTAGTGCAAACCCTTATTCCTGCAAAACCTGGTTTCTTCTCGCTGGAGCCTTGGGGGGGAGCGGTTGGGGAGAGAAAGCACTAGATAAATATTTGTGAAATAAATTACTAAGAGGTCTGAGCCCTGTCACTGGGGACCGTGGGCTCCCTCTGCTCCTGGCTCCTGCCTCTGTCTCTCCACTCACCGGCAGCCCTGAAATCCAATCTGGTTTTAGAATCTAGGGGCAAAAGGATCAGGTGGAGCCCAGGGTGGGAGCGGAAAGGGCAGATGGCAGGTACCGGCTCCCAGGGCCATGTCTCCCCCGCCTCGAGGGCCCTTGGCCAGCTGGGTCAGGGGTGAACCCCATTCCACCTCGTGGGTCCTTGGTCAGAAGAGCGGGGCTGCATACCTGGGGGTGGGTGTGGTCTGGCATGCAGGTAAGCCCTGTCCTGCATGTCCCTCACGCTGCCACCCCACAGTGGGATGGAGGCGGGTTGGTTACCGGACTGTGCCTGTGTTGGGGTGCTAGGTCTTGCAGGACCGAGGTGGGGGCTCAGACTTCTTCTAAAATGCACATTTACTGCCCTTGCATGAGCCACTACCTCAAAATGGTCCAGTGTGGGGACCACACCAAAGCTTGGGCGCTCGGGGCTGTGACACACTGATAATAGGTAAACTGAGGTCCATCGGAGGAACAGGGCTCTTAAGCTAGTGCTCTTTAAAGCCGTCTGAAGCCCCCCATGGGCACTGTCACACAGGGCTGGGACCTCACCTGCAGTCAGGGACAGACACACACACACACACACACACACACACACACACCAGGGCTCCAGTCACAGCCTTATACATTTTCCTCATTGCTCACTGTCGCCCACCTTCTCCAGGGCCCTCTTCTCTCCCGGAAAGCAGACAGTATATTGGCCAGGGCCGTCTCAGTGGCCCCCCCAAGAGGTGGTGGAGACACTTTTGAGATCCACCCCCACTGAGACAGGTGTGAGGCTGGCACGCCAGGAAAGAGATGGAAGTGAGACTGCAGGAAGGACTGGCCCCCCTGACCCAGTACGCAGTGCCTGCTGCCCGGAGCAGGAAAGGCCCTCAGTCATTACCAAAAAGAATGAATGAATGAAGAGCTGGACAAACAGCAAGAGGTATGGAAGTTGGAAGGTAGGAAGGACTGGTCCAGTTATGCGAGGAGGAACGGTTAGGCTGGACTGAAGGGAGGTCTGGTCTCGTCTCTACTCCAAAGGTTCCTGGTTAAACTGCTAGGACCGGGCTCAGAATGCCAGAAACAAGCCGGGCGGGGGGGGGGACGGGCTGGGGGGGTTGCCGGCTGGGAGGACCCGGAGAGAGTGGGGAGCTCTGCGGAAATGGCCAGAGGAGTTTGCAGGGCTCCAGGCATGGGGGAAGCCCACTCTGCGGGGGCAGGGGGGCGGGGGCGGGGGTGGGGTCTTCCTCCTCCAGGTCTCCCCTGCCAGGGGCGGAGACAAAGGTGTGTGGGAGGAGGGTGCACTGGTACCCAGGGAGAGACAGAGAAGAGGAAAGAGAGAGAGAAACAGACTGAGATACCCAGAGACAGAGATGGAGACGAGGGGGAGACAGACCAGAGACAGACACGCGGACATGGGAAGAGATAGAGACACAGGGAAGCCGAGACAGGGGAGAGGCAGAGACACAGAGGAACAGAGATGGCGCAAGAGGAAAGCGGGGAGAAACCCAGGACTCAGAGACAGAGCCCCGGAGAGACTCAGAACAGACCCCAGCACAGAGATACAGAGACAGAGGAAGACAGGAGTGAGACGCAGAGAAACAGGGACTCCCAGAGGCTGCCAGACTCCGCTAGACAGAGATCCCTGAGAGATGTGGAGAGACAGAAAGATGAGACCGAGACACAGGAAGGCGGGGGCGGAGGTGGAGAGCGCGGGGGGGGGGGGAGGGGGGAGGTGCCCCAGAGGGGTGGGGGCGGGGTGTTCTCGCCCCCCAGGATGCAGGCACCCCCCTCTTCCCAGCCGCCCAAGAACCAGAAGGGCTGAAGATGTTGGGTGGCTGGTGGCACTCCCACCCCACAGAAGGTACCCGTGCTGGGCCAGGCAGCCCCCCACCTCCATAAACCAGCCCAGGGAAACCAGCTCCCGGCTTCCCGAACCCGCCCCCACTCCGCGCCTGGGGTAACCTAGTCCTTTTCCCACGCCCCCACCTCCCCACCAATGGGGTCTCTTACCTGCAGCTACAGCCTGTAGCAGGTGCCCCCAGCGCTCGGCTGGCAGTGGTGGGCGACTCCGCCCGAAGGAGAGAGAGAGATTGAGAGAGAAAAGCCGGAGACTGAGAGGGAGAGCCCGGAGGAGGGGAGGGAGAGGGGATAGAGGGAGGAGAAGAGAAGAGGGGAGGGACACGGGGGAGGGGGAGTCGGCGAGGGAGCGAGGGAGGAGGGAGGGGGAGGAGCCGGAGAGAGGGGGAGGAGGCGGAGGCGGGCAGAGGGGAGGCCGCGCGGGAGGCGGGGGAGGCCCGGGGAGGGGCCTGGGGAGCAGGGCGGGAGGAGCAGGGAGCCCGAGCCTCCTCCCCAGCCTCCGGGTTCAGCACCAGAGGCAGGGGACAGCAGCGGAGGGCGCGCCTGTGTGTTTCAGAAGCAGCCCCCGCCCCCCAACACACACACACACACGCACAGTCTCCCAGCCATACAAGGGCCAACAGCTACAAATAGTTACAGACTCACAGAACTAGGGGGAGGGCAAGAATGTTTTAGCTAGAGCCAGATCCAAACTCACATACTGTGCCTGCACAGCCTCACGAAGAGGCCGGAAACAACCGCAAAGGCACCATTAATAATCATAACAGCTGCCGCCATGCATACAGGCGTGCCTGGCATCGCCATCACATTTTTATTATTATTTGGGACAGGGTCTCACTCCATCACCCAGGCTGGAGTGCAGTGGCACGATCCCTGCTCACTGCAGCCTCCACCTCCTGGGTTCAAGCGATTCTCCTGACTCAGCCTCCCAAGTAGCAGGGATTACAGGCGTGCGCCACCACGCCCATCTAGTTTGCATATTTTTAGTAGAGATGGAGTTTCGCCATGTTGGCCAGGCTGGTCTTGAACTCCTGATCTCAAGTGATCAGCCTGCCTTGGCCTCCCAAAGTCCTGGGATCACAGGCGTGAGCCACCACACCTGGCCCGCAGGCCACTTCTTGACCTGCCCCATCCTCAGCCTGAGGAATTGTGTGGTGCAGCAGGTAAGGGTGTAGAATCCGGAGCCATGCTCACCACCTCGTGCCTTGGTTTCCGTGTGTGTGAATGGGGCTCATAGTAGCACCTACCTCACAAGGTAGGTGTAAGGGTTGATTGTGTTAACATGTGTCCTGAATGTATAAAGAAAGGTTAGAACATGCCAGGTACGGTGGCTCTCACCTGTAATCCCAGCGCTTTGGGAGGCCGAGGCAGAAGGATTGCTTCTCAAAAAAAAAAAAAAAAAAAAAAAAGTGAACTGCAAAGAACCAGGCAGGTGTCCTTGGCTCCCAAAGACACAAACTCACCTGCCCTGCCATGGATCCATAGGCGAGTACACACCTCTCCAGGGCACACCATCACTATACCCACCCCATCCCACTCCCCCCAGGACAGGAGGCGATGGAGTGTGAGCCGGTGTGAGGGCTCCTTCTCTGCAGGCAGGCAGTGGGAAGGAGGGGACCCTGCTCGTGCCACCGGTCCTGCCCACTGCCAGTCCTGGCTGGACACCATCGGGCCGGGCCTGCTGCCAGGGGAGGGAGAGGAGCCGGCTCCCTGCAGCTTCCCACGCCTGGCCTGGCTTCTGGGAGAGAGGGTGAACACAGGGGGCCAGCAGTTGCTGAGCTCCTCACTCCTGTAAACGCTCGGTAGATAACTGGTGACTGGACCTTCCCTGTCAGTGTCGGTGGTGAGACTCTGGGGTGGACCTCCACAGCAGGAGGCAGACAGATGGCCAGGATGACTGCATGACTGCCTGTCCCGAGCCCCCCAGGAAACAGGTGTCCCGCCCAACCCCTGCCCCCAGCCTGGATCCGGCCCAGGAATGATTACCCCCAACCCTGCTGACCCAGATTCTATTCCTGGCCTGCAGTGGAGGGAGAGCAGGACTTCCATCATTCCTGTCCTCCACTGGCCCTACAGACAGGCCTCTGATTCCTTCTCCTGGTATACAGAAAGGAACATAGGAGGCTAGGCGCGGTGGCTCACACCTGTCATCCCAGCACTTTAGGAGGCCGAGGTGGGTGGATCACCAGAGGTCAGGAGTTTGAGACCAGCCTGGCCAACATGGAAACCCCGTTTTTAGTAAAAATACAAAAAAGATTGGCCAGGTGTGGTGTGCACGCTTGTAATCCCAGCTACTCAGGAGAATCACTTGAACCAGGAAACGGAGGTTGCAGTCAGCCAAGATCGCGCCCACAAGAGTGAGACTCCGTCACACACACACACACACACACACACACACACACGACCACAGGCAAGGGAGGTCCTACCACCACAGGCTTGGAAAATCAGGCTTGTCTCCCACTCCCTGGTTCCCCAACCCCGCCTCCCCAGGGCTTTTTAGATTAGGTCTAACCTTAGACCCTTCCAGCATAGTCTAGCCTGGGTCTTTTTCCTGGGTCTTGCCTTAGTGCTCCCCACCAGGGACTAAACTCATTTTCTGCTGGGGTTTCACCCAGGGCCCCTGCACAGGGTCTAGCCATAGCAATTTTTTGCTGGGGTCCAACCTGATTATTATTCATAGGGAAGTCTAGCGTCAGACCCTCCACTGCAAACAGACCACTGCCTTCCCACAGCAGCCCTTTCTAGCGGCAAGTTTTCCTCTGAACCCTCAAGTTCCTTGCCTTTCCACTGGGGTCTCGTTTCGGCCCTCTGCATTTGGGGTCTCCCCTCAATTCACTAGCGGGGGTCTAACCTCAGCTCTTTCCCTTCCACTCTACAGCCTATTCCACAGGGGTTTAACGTCAGCCTTTCTGCAAAGGTGTCAGCTCACTTCTTTATCTATTTTTTTGAGACAGAGTTTTGCTCTTCTTGCCCAGGCTGGAGTGCAATGGGATCTCTGCTCACCACAAACTCTGCCTCCCAGATCCAAGCGATTCTCCTGCCTCAGCCTCCTGAGTAGCTGGGATTCCAGGCATGTGTCACCGCACCTGGCTAATTTTGCATTTTTAGGAGACGGGGTTTCTCCGCATTGGTCAGGCTGGTCTCATTTCTTTCTCTTCAGGTCTACCCTGGGGTCTAACCTTTGACCTGTATCTGGGTCTAGCCTTGGATTCCCTGTCCCCCAAATCCCTCTCCCTCAATTCCTCTCGGTGAATCCAGCATCCAGCACAGAGCCAGGCATACAGCAGGTGCTCACCAAATGCTTGCTGAACCAAGGAATCAAGACAACTGGGAAAGCAATGTTCTTCTCAATGTGTAAATAACCATTAAGTAGCAAATTCTCATCCGGAGTGGACGGGGTGGGATGGGGTCATCCCTGCTTTCAAATAGGGATATTGAGGCACAGAGAGAGAAGTGGGTTAGCGGGGGTCCCAGGGCACAAATTCACCACCCTGGGGAGGTCTGGGGAGAGCACCCAGCCTTTCAGGACACCCCCCAGCGGCAGCTGGATGTGGGGACGTGTGAGTCACCTCAGGTGTGGGAAGAGTGGGTGAGTGGGTGCTTAAGAGCCTGAATCCTCCAACCCCTGTAGCCGACGTCTCCTCTGCTCCACTTGATGTCGAAGCCGGGTCAAGACCAGCTCCGAGGCCTGGAGCAGGCTGTGCTGTGGGGAACAAGAGAAGGAGGGGGATAGAGCTGAGGAAGAGGTGCAGGTTAGACCGTGGGGTGCAGGTTAGACCATGGCGGGATCGTCTGGAGTGAAGCAACTCCAAAAACCAGGAGCTCAGCCCAGGTGAGAGGACAGAGGATGGACCACAGTGTGTCGGGGGGAAGGGGCCTGTGATCAGGGTGAAGGCTAGACCACAGGGCAGTGGACGGACCACAGTGTGTTGGGGGGAAGGGGCCTGTGATCGGGGTGAAGGCTAGACCACAGGGCAGTGGCCTTAAGCAGTTGTCTAGCAGGAGGGACAAAGTCTAGACCCAAATGTAAGGAAGTGAGGTTAGAATCTGATGGGAGGAATACAAAAATTAGCCAGATATGGTGGTGGCGCCTGTCACCCCAGGTACTCGGGAGGCTCAGGCAGGAGAATCCCTTCAACCCGGGAGGCGGAGGTTGCAGTGAGCCGAGATTGCGCCACTGCACTCCAGCCGAGGAGACAGAGCAAGACTCTGTCTCAAAAAATAATAATAAATAAAAATAAAAATCAATCAATCTCCTTCACCAGGCAGTGCCCCAGCCCTGCTGCTGTGAGCTCACAGCTGCCCCCTTCCCCTGGGAGTTGTCCTGAACCGCCTTGCAGAATGGAGCTGGCACCTGCTGCCCAGAACTGCAGTGGCTGACTCCCCTCCAGCCCTGAGAGCCGGCGTTACCTGCAGGATATGCACGCCCTTCAGGGAGACCACAGCCAGCTCCTGCAGCCCGTCCCCGGTCAGGTCCAGGTGAGCCATGGCCAGCAGGGGACTGGAGAAGCTCCGCTGCCACAGCAGGCGGAACCCACGCTGGGCCCCAGGGAGCCCCGACTCCAGCCCCTGGTACTTATAACACAGCAGTTCCTGCAGGGGTGAAGAGTCGGGGTCACACAGGTCGAAGGGGGGATGGTGGAGGGAGGCCCATGGGTGGGGACTCCAACCGTCCCATCCCACCTGTCCGTAGGTGGCCACCAGGACTTCTGGCTGCCCATCCAAATCCACATCGGTGACCAGGCCACAGAGGACGCTGTCAAATTGGTCACTGCCGGGCAGGAGAAGCTGGTCTTCCAGGCCCCGGTTCAGCAGGTCCCTGAGGGTTCCAAATGCAGCAGAGAGACTGGGGTCAGCCTGCAGTGCCTGCCACCCTTGGCGGATGCTGAGCTGGTACCGGTCCTGTTTCCCTTCCAGGTCTCAGGAAGCCGAGGCACCATCATCTCAGATTTGGACACGTTCAAAGACCCAGCAAGAGCTCAACCTATCACTCAAGCCGTGCGCCTCTGGACCATCTCACTCCCAAATGGAAAGCCGCCGTGTCCCACTGGGGACTCAGACACACGCATCCTCAATCTAGACACCGATACTGCCTTCATGGAGCCCAAAGACGGCTTGGCCCTGGCTTGGACACCTTCCCCACCCCTACACGGGTGACAGAGCTGGCCACAGTCGGTTCCAAGCGCTGACTGGGCAATGTTGCCATGTCATCAATTCATGGCTCGGAACCCACGGTGGTGGGAGAATTTACACTTTGTATACTCGGGTAAATGCTTCACACCTGGGCTTTCCCTGTGCAGAGCCAGTGATTAAACACTTGCCAGCACACCCACTATATCCCCTCCAGTGGGCGAGGGCATCTCTGCTCCCATCCCCCCCGCCTCAACGTATTCCCAAGTCTACACTTCAGTATTCACAGCCCCACCCCTGGGTCACAAGTATCTTTTTTTTTTTTTTTAAAGACAGGGTTTCACCATGTTGGTCAGGCTGGTCTTGAACTCCTGACCTCAGGTGATCCACTCGCCTTGGCCTCCAAAGTGCTTGGATTACATGCATGAGCCACTGCACCCAGCCACAAGTATCTTTTTTTTTGACACAGTCTCACTCCGTTGCCCTAGCTGGACTGCAATGGTGTAATCTTGGCTCACTACAACCTCTGCCTCCCAGATTCAAGTGATTCTTCTGCCTCAGCCTCCCAAATAGCTGGGATTACAGGTGCCCACCACCATGTCCAGCTAATTTTTGTATTTTTAATTGAGACAGGATTGCACCATGTTGGTCAGGCTGGTCTCGAACTCCTGACCTCCGGTGATCCGCCCGCCTCAGCCTCCCAAAGTGCTGGGATTACAGGCGTGAGCCACCGCACCTGGCCCACAAGTGTCTTTACTTGTCCAGCTCTGACTAAACCACGAAATGGAACTTACTGTGGAGAATGATGAGGTTAGACCACAGTGGAAAGAAACAAGGTTAGACCACACCCATGGGTCTCAGGCCCCCTTACCGGTACACCACGGCTGGCTCCAACATGCTGGCCACGAGCACGCTGTATTCATCTTGTGGTGGCCTGTCCTTGGTCTCTAGAGAAGAAACATGAATGGTAATCCCAGCACTTTGGGAGGTCGAGGTGGGTGGATCATCTGAGGTCAGGAGTTCGAGACCAGCCTGGTCCACATGATGAAACCCTGTCTCTACTAAAAATACAAAAATTAGCCCGGCGTGGTGGTGGGTGCCTATAATGCCAGCTCCTCCGGAGGCTGATGCCAGGAGAATCGCTGAGTTGGGAGGCGAAGGAGGCAGTGAGCCGAGACTGCACCACTGCTCTCCAGCCTGGGCAACAAGAGCAAAACTCTTGTCTCAAAAAAAAAAAAAAAAAAGACACTTGCCATGTATGTTTACAGCAGCCCAATTCACAACTGCAAAGGTGTGGAACTAAGCTAAGTGGCCATTGACGAATGAGTGGAGAAAGAAAATGTGGCATGTATATACCCTGGAGTACAACTCAAGCCATAAAAAGGAAGGCAATATTGTCTTTTGCAGTGACTTAGATGGAGCTGGAGGCCATTCTCTTAAGTGCAGTAACATAGGAGCGGAAAACCAACAGAAGTATGTTCTCGCAGAAGGAACTAAGCTCTGAGGACACAAAGGCATACGGAGTGTATGGTGGGCTTTGGGGGCTCTGAAGGGGCAAGGTGGGAGGGGGTGTGGGATAAAAGCACACAAAAGGACCCTACTCAGTGATGGGCGCACTAAAATCTCAGAATCCACCATCGCATAATCCATCCATGAACCCAAAACTGCTTGTGCCCCCAAAGTGATTGAAATTTAAAAAATCTTTTTTTTTTTTGAGACGGAGTTTCGCTCTTGTTACCCAGGCTGGAGTGCAATGGCGCGATCTTGGCTCACTGCAACCTCCGCCTCCTGGGTTCAGGCAATTCTCCTGCCTCAGCCTCCTGAGTAGCTGGGACTACAGGTAAGCGCCACCATGCCCAGCTAATTTTTGGTATTTTTAGTAGAGACAGGATTCACCATGTTGGCCAGGCTGGTCTCAAACTCCTGACCTCAGGTGATCCGCCCCCCTTGGCCTCCCAAAGTGTTGGGATTACAGGCACCCACCACCACACCCAGCTACTTTTTGTATTTTTTTTTTTTTTGAGATGGAGTTTCGCTCTTGTTACCCAGGCTGGAGTGCAATGGCGCAATCTCGGCTCACTGCAACCTCCGCCTCCTGGGTTCAGGCAATTCTCCTGCCTCAGCCTCCCGAGTAGCCGGGATTACAGGCATGCGCCACCACGCCCAGCTAATTTTTTGTATTTTTAGTAGAGATGGAGTTTCACGATCTTGGCCAGGCTGGTCCTGAACTCCTCACCTTGTGATCCACGTGCCTTGGTTTCCCAAAGTGCTAGGATTACAGGCATGAGCCACCGTACTCAGCCTAATTTTTATATTTTTAGTAGAGACGGGGTTTTGCCATGTTGGCTAGGTTGGTCTCGAACTCCTGACCTCAGGTGATCCACCCTCCTCAGCCTCCCAAAGTACTGGGATTACAGGCATGAGCCACAGTGCTCAGCCAAACATTTTTTTAAAAAGCAAAATGCCATTCAGGGACAGACCCCAATAAAGGAGCAGCAACGATCCACGTGTTGGGGAAAAGGCTAGACTCTGAGTGGTGGGGCAGCAGTGAGGCCAGGAGCATGGCCCGGGGCTAGACTGCAGCAAGAGACAAGGTGAAGCGGCCACAGAGAGGGCGAGTAAGTCCCGAGGTGAGACGCGCAGATCAGGGCACAGGAGAGGCGGACGCTCAGCCCCAGGCTACGGGCTAAGGTTACGCCAAAATGAGAACCACTGTGAGCCCTACCAGAAAAGACAGGGCTTGGCCTCCTGTTTCAGTCCTGCACGTTAAATTCAGAAGGGAGGGCAGGGGAGGGAAGACGCGCTCTGTAGCTCAAGGTCTGGAGTCGGGGATGCACGAAGGAGGGACTGCGGCCTGGACACTTTGGGAGAATCTGGGTGGGTGGAGTCAAGCAGGCAGCTTGGCTTCCTCCCCTCACCCCCCTCCGCCCACCGCTGTCTCCCCATCCCCTCAAACCCAGAGCTCACCCTTGGGGGCCGAGAGGCTGAACACGATCACTCGGGAGATGGGGCCGTCCTGCAGGACCGACCACGTCTGCAGAACCTCTGCGTGGAGAGCAAGGATTCAGGGCCCCAGCCCCACCATGGTCCTGCGCCCCCCCACCGCCCTCAAACCCCTGTCCTACCTCCCCCACCTTTCAGCCTCACCTTAGCTCCAAACCGCTGCAGCTTTCAGCCCCACCATAGCCCGGTCCCCAAGCCCCACCCTCATCCGTCAACCCTTCCCCCTACACTACACAGTTCCAGCCTTCAGTCCCACCCCTAAGCCCCAACCTCATTCCTCAACCTCCCCCGCCCTCCCCTACACCACCCAGCTCCGGCCCTCAGCCCCACCCTAGGCCCCTTGCCCCCCCCCCACAAGCCCCATCCTCATCCCTCAACCTCCTTTCCCCCTCAAATCTCCAGTCCTCAACCCCACCTTGGCCCCGCCCCCAGCCCTGAACGCCCCTGGCCCCGCCCCCAGGGCTCAACCCCACCCCCTGCCCCGCCCCACCACGGTCCTCACCTCGACTCAGCTGGTCGACGTGGGCGACACGGACATAACCACTCTGACAGCCCAGAGCTGAGAGGCGCCGGGACGTGCCGGGGAGGTTGTGGACGTCTAGCCAGAGGACGCTGGCGGGCAGGTGGATGGACAGGCCCGAGGGCCACTGCTGGGCCCTGCCCCGCCCCTCTGCCTCCCCAGGGGCAGCCACCCCTCCCTGTACCACTGGGACACTGCTGCTTGATTCCTCCTGGATAATCCCCACCACCCCAGGGCTGAGTTCACATCTCGTTTTCTGTGGGGTCACCCCTGCTGATCAGTTTCTCTGAAATCACGCCATGGCCTGATTTTCCTGAGGTCACTGCCCCCCCCCACCCCCGGTCCCCGGTGGCCTCTTTTGGGGCCTCTCCTACCTACTGGTCAGGTTCGTCAGCTCTGGGAAGAGGTTTTCCACGGGCTGTTCCTCAAACTGATGCAGACCTTCGTTCTGGGGAAACCAAGACCCATCCCACCCCAGGTTAAGCCAGCCGTCAGCTTCACACATGCACCTACCCGGTGCCAGCCCACAAGGCTCTACCCAGCACGCCTCCCAACCTCACCTCCTTGTAGAGATGAATGGCCAGGTCGTTCCCACTCAAGAGAAACACGGTCTCCAGTTGATCCCCAACCTGGACTCTGAAAGCAGAGAAATCTAGAACCCTCAAGGTAGTGGAATCCATGTGGTCTGAGAGCCAGAACTCTCCTCTTGCAAAATCCTGTTGAGAACCCTAACATTCTGGGATCCAGACACTGGACCCAGGGTTAGAATCTCAGGGCTCAAGCTCCTGACTATCCTATCTCCTTGAAATGCAGAACTGTAGAAAGTAACCCTCATAAAATCTCAGAATCAGGGAACTGTACAACCTCCCAATCTCAGAACTGCAGGAACGAAGCTTGCTAGAACCTCCCCCTCCTAGAGCATGCACCTACTCCTACCTTCACTCTGTGGATTCAGGAATGGAACGTGGAATTCTCAAATGAACTATAGAACCTCAGAAAGCTAGGACCTCTTTAATCTCAGACCCTGTTTTCTGTCTCCTTAGAAATACTAGCACTTGCCGGGCAGAGTGGCTCACATCTGTAATCCCAGCACTTTGGGAGGCCGAGGTGGGCAGATCACAAGGTCAGGAGTTCAAGACCAGCCTGACCAACATGGTGAAACCCCATCTCTACTAAAAATGCAAAAAATTAATCTGGCATGGTGGCGAGTGCCTGTAATCCCAGCTACTCAGGAAGCTGGGGCAGGAGAATCACTTGAACTTGGGAGGCGGAGGTTGCAGTGAGCCAAGATCACACCACTGTGCTCCAACCTGGGCAACAGAGCAAGACTGTCTCAAAAAAAGAAAAAAGAAATACTAGAACTTCTAGAATTTGCCAACACAGATTTCAGATTCATGGAATGATAGAATAGCCAAGTCCCAGCCAGGAGAACATTAGTGCAATTAGAATTTTCAGTTTCAGGGACTCTCATCTGTTAGGACCAGAACTTGGCCAACCATGACCTGCAGACCAAATGTGACTCACCGTCTGTTTATGTAAATCAAGTTTTATTGGAACACAGTCGCATCCATTCATTTGCACAGTGTCAATAGCTGCTTTCTGGCTACAATGACAAAGTGAGTAGCTGTAACAGAGGCTGGCTCTGAAGGCCTAGTATTTCCTATCTGGACCTCTACCAAAAAAAGTCTGCCAATCCCTGTTCTAGACCGTCCGTGTTCTGGAATCTGGAGCTCCACAACGGAACCCACACTCTGGAGTTCTAGGACCTTTGTATTCTAGATGGTCTGTCTTCTAGCTCCTTGAAATATGAGCATGTCAGGACTTATCGTTACAGAACCTCAGAAGATTCTGGCTTCTGTCATATTGTAGAACATTCAAATCTTGGAATCTTAGGGCTTACGACTCTAGAAAACTTAGCATCTCTGATCTTGGAATGTCAGAATCTAGAACGTTAGAATCTGGGAATTCTAGATGTGCAGAATACAGGTGCTCAATCAACTCTCTCAGATTATCTAGTTCAGGAATGGCAGGGCGGTGGCCCCTTGGTGATCTGGTCCATGGTCACCTTAAAAGCATGATGCTCTTGAAAACAAAAGTAGAATCTGATGGTCTGTGGGCAAATTCGTGGTCTCCCGTTAGCTACAGCTTTCCAACCTCAGCTGTGTGTGCGTGTGCGCACGTGTGCTTCGTTATATTATACTTGTGGCTTATCATTCTCTCACGTGACCTCTCTCGTCCCCAAAGGCATTTAGTTCTTCCTTTTTGAGACAGAGTCTCGCTCTTGTCACCAAGGCTAGAGTGCAATGGTGTGATCTCGGCTCACTGCAATATCCACCTCCTAGGTTCAAGTGATTGTCTGTCTCAGCCTCCCGAGGAGCTGGGATTACAGGCGCTACTAATTTTTGTATTTTTAGTAGAGACGGGGTTTCGCCATGTTGGCCAGGCTGGTCTCAAACTCCTGACCTCAAGTGATCTGCCCGCCTTGGCCTCACAAAGTGCTGGGAATGATAGGCGTGAGCCACTGGGCTGGGCTGGTATTTTAGTACAACCACCTTATTTTCCAGAAGAGGAAACAGACCACAGGGGTCTGTAAATAAGGGGTTCCAGAAGCCAGAGTTCCTACATTTACAGTGGGGTGGGCATGGATGCTCAGGGGACACTCACTCCGCGTGGCACAGCTGGAACGGAGTGAACTGGAGCTCCAGATTCAGGCAGCTCTCTGGAGGAGGAGCAGAGGCAGGTGAGTATTGCGGAACCTGCTGGGGACCCTCTCCCTCCTCCCATCCACGCCACACTCACGGGCAATGGAGTCCAGGTTGTATTCAGAGCCGGGTTCATAGTCGCAGTAAATGTTCAGGAAGGGGCTGCCCTTGTCCCCTGAATCCTGGGGGAGGACACTGGGTTCAGAGGAGGGCAGGGGTGGCAGGAGCAGTCCAGGGCAGCTCAGTGGGGCTCTCCATGTGTGTACAGAGGAAGGTGAGGGGAGGTGGAGGGATTCTGCATACCTTGATGAACGTGATCCCTACAACCAGACCCCGCTTGGGGGGTGACTTGTTGAAGGTGTCGATGGAGACAATCTCCGCGTCCACTGGGAGGGGAGAGTTCTAAGTTCAGTGTCAGGCAGAGTCAAGACTCGGCTTTCCCCAAACACGGTGAGCTCTGGCCACCGCAATGATCATACCCTCCGGTCCGAGTGAGTCTTGACCACCATCACCTGACCTCTGTTCCCTGGGTACCAGGGATCCTGATCTGTAAATCTGAAGAATCCTGAAACCCTAGGCACTTCCAGGCCCCAACTATGCCTGCCCATTGATCCCAGTGACCCCCTTGAACCACTCCATCCCATTCTCTCAGCACGGTAACCCGGCTCGGATGGAGCCTCGGAAGCCTTCTCAACACCACGTTCCAGGACCCCCCGCCAGCACCATAGCGCCACCCACCGGGGATGTAGTTGAACTGCAGCTCCTTGGCCACTGGCCGGATTTTCTGTCGGAGGTCTTGGTAGCGGAAGCCGAGCACCTTGCCTTTAAGGGTGGCGGCCAGCAGCTCCCCGCGCCCGCCGGCACCACCTGCCAGCCCATACACATTGCTCTGCGACGAGAAGCGCGTGAAGCTGTCCTCGCGCAGTGGACAAGGCCCCGCGGCCACGGCTGCCTCCCCCATCACGCCCCACAGCCACGCACCCTCTCCGCAGCCCTCGACGCGACCCGCACTACCCAACCTGCGGCTCTCGAAGCGACCCGAACCGCCGGGTGGCGGGCCGTCGCGCAAACTGATGACGTACGTAAGCCACCGACATTGCCCTCTCCCAAGATGGCGGCCAGATCGCCTGCCCGGGCCTCCCAGGAGACTTTGCCCTACTGCGCCTGCGCGCTCTTCTCCTTTCCATTTCTGGATCAAGTAGCTGCCCTAAGGAGCCTGTGACCAGAGATGGGATGGCCACGGCCTCTTGCTGTATGCTGCGTGGAAGGTCAAACCATCATCATCATAAAACTTAGTATTGCTCTTAAGTGCCAGGAACTACTATAAACGCATTCCGTCTAATAATTTATCAAAAATTCTCAAGCGGGTGGAGGTAGGTACTCTTAAATCCATTTCACAGATGAAGGAATTGAAGCACAGAGGGGTAAAGTAACTTACTTAAGATCACACAGCTAGTAACAAGCGGTCAGTACTGGAACCCAAAGAAGGTACCCCATAGTTCATTTTTTTTTTTTTTTTTTTGAGACGGAGTCTTGCTCTGTCACTCAGGCTGGAGTGAAGTGGTGCGATCTCGGCTAACTGCAGCTTCTACCTCATGGGTACGAGCGATTCTCCTGCCTCAGCCTTCTGAGAGCTGGGATTACAGGCGCCACCACACCTAATTTTTGTATTTTTAGTAGAGATGGGGTTTCGCCATGTTGCCCAGGCTGGTCTCGAACTCCTGACCTCAGGTGATTCACCCGCCTGGGCCTCCCAATATGTAGGGATTACAAGCATGAGCCACCGTGCTGGGCCCATGGTTCACAATCTTAACAATATTATCTTAAAAATGATGAATACATTCTTCCTGCCACCAAGGAAAAATGATCCAGCTATAATAACCAACTCCTTTACGGAACACTTACTTGGTGACAGTGATGCTGGCTCTGATAGTCTGATTCCTCACAACTGTTCTGCAAGGGCCCAGTGCTACCCTCCCTACCGGTTTGCTTATTCAGCATTCACTGAGCTTTGACTATGTGCCCGGACGTCTTTTACAAATCTGTCTCACTAATCTTAGCAAGAAAGAAACCTCTACAAAGAGGTTTACTATCCTAGCTTACAGAGGATGAAATGGAGGCTCAGAAAGAGTAAGTTCACTGACTGATAGGCTAGTAAGTGGTGGGGACAGGATGTAAACCAGGTATTTCCGACTCCAGGGCCTTCAGGGGTTTCTGTCTGTGCTTGTCTCTAGAAGGCCATGAAGGTTTGGGTACTCTGTGCACATCTGTGTATCGTTTCCAGAAGACACAGGTTGGCCAGCTGTCCTGGGCACCTCCAGCACATGCAGACTGCAAGCTCCATGAAGGCAGCCGCTGGTCTCCCTTGGTCATGGCCAGATCCCTCGGACCACCAAGCCTGACCCAAAGCAGGCATTCAGTAAACATGTCAAAAATCACAAACTATGTCAGCTGAGCATGTAAGAGATGGCAAACAGAAAGCTCTCAAAGGCAGACTGGATATGGGAGGTGGCAAGAAGGAATGTGTGATGATTTCGGGTTTCTGCATGTGGGGAGTAGAAGCTCCCGGAGGGCAGGTCTGGGAATGTCGTCAAGTGTGCTATCTTCCTAGGGCCTGATACGCAGCAGGTGCTTAGTGAATACTCACTGAGGGAGTGGCACGTAGGACTAGGGCCACTTCAGAGGTGCGTTTCCTTCAGGCTTCTTCCCTGCCTAGCACCCTACAAGCCACATGTTGCGTGAATGAATGAACAAATGAAGTTACGGGTTAGGAAGGATTTATCCTGCTCAGAGGTTTCCAACCCTAGCTGCACAACTGAATTGCTGATGAAGCTTTATAAAAACCAACCAAGACAGGCCGGGCCTTGGGGCTCACACCTGTGACCCCAGCATTTTGGGAGGCTGAGGTGGGCAGATCACCAGAGGTCAGGAGTTTGAGAACAGCTTGGCCAACATGACGGAACCCTGTCTCTACTAAAAATATAAAAATTAGCTGGGCATGGTGGCATATGCCTGTAATCCCAGCTATTTGGGAGTCTGGGGAGGAGAACTGCTTGAACCTGGGAGGTGGAGGTTGCAGGGAGCTGAGATCGCGCCACTGGACTCCAGCCTTGGCGACTAGAGCAAGAGTCTGTCTCAAAGAAAAAAACCAAAAAACTCCAATCAAGAGTAGGGAACCTGTCAAACCACAATTTAACAGAGTGCGGCCACAGCCTGGATACTTGTATTTGTGCACCATCATCCTCATTTTTGTATTTTTAGCAGAGACAGGCTGCTCCTGAATGCCTGACCTCAAGTGATCTGCCTGCCTCGGCCTCCCAAAGTGCTGGAATGACGAGCATGAGCCACCATACCCAGACCTAAGCCTGCATACTTTTAATGACTTTAAAGCACAGCCAGGGCTCAGCAGCACTGATTTAGGTCATGGATGGCAGACACAGATTCTCATGCCATCCTTCAGCCAGTGCCCACGACGGGGGAAGACATGGTAATCAATCTCAGGTCTCAGGAGTCTCTACTGCCATCATCAGTGGACTGGAGCTGTGGGAGGGGCCGCAGGGGACAGCGGAGCAGGGCGGGTGTCAGGGAATTTGAACCTCGCCTGTGCTTCTCTGGGCTCACTGGGCTGGAGCATCTTTCCCAGGATCCCACCCTGGTTTCTTAGGGAGAAGAAATTGCCTAAGAAACCAGTAATTGCTCCTCTGTGCAATTACTGACCCTGCTCACTTCATGTTTTCCTATCATGCCTGGAGGGCACTGAGCGTCCTCCAGCCCATCACCTCCAGTGAGGGGCCCCGAGCAGGGCAGGGTAAAGCACGTGCGTACCAGGCGGGTCCCCTAACATGCACATCGTGGAGTGTGGTGGAGGCAGCTGGCTCCTGCCCACCTTCCCCGGGCAAAGGCTCCTGCTATCTCCTCCCCCACTCCCCAGACCCACTCAAGCCTCAGACTCTGCCCACCAAAGCTGCTTCCTCCCCCGTCCTGTGACAGATGGAACAACTGTCACCGGGGAGTTAAGCCTTCCTGCCAGGGAAATGTGGACATGGGGGATTCGGCGGGCTCCCGCCCATCTCTTCCACAGCAGTCATGAGCACTGTCACACTTGGCTCTGCCACTGGCTCTGAGGGGGGATCACCACTGTGCATCCCATTAAGCAAACCAAGACCCCCAGACCCCAAGAATCCAGAGAAAATTAGATCAAGATGGGTGATCTGGGACTCCCAAGCCAGAGCTCCTCCCCAGGCCCACCATCCCTGGGTATCCCCCACCTATCAACTGACCCAGCCCACAAGTTTCAAGGATGCATGCCCCCCACCTCCCAAAAGCTTGCCCAGAGCCTGGGGGGACCACGAGTGTGAGGAGGACAGGAAAGCAGCCCAGGGGGCAAGGTGGGTAGCAGAGGTGAGGAGGAAGAGAGACTCATGCAAAAGTGTTGTTTTTTATTTTCCTTCTTGGGCCAGCTGCACCTTCCAACCAACAAAACCTCAAAGCATTAGGGAGGGGGCAGGCGTGGGGCTGGAGTGGGGGACAACCCCCTAAGCTCCAGGGCCTGGGGTCTGACCTGAGAGGTCGGGGCTGCAGGAGGCTGGGGGAAGAGGAGCCTCTCTCTAGCAGAGACAGCAAGTCTCAGAGGCTACATGTGCTCAGGGCTTGGCTGGGGGACAAAAGTTTGAGACAGAAACCAGCCTCACAACTCAGCTGGTCAGGAGATGGGGAGCCAGACACCAACCCCCCGGCAGCACCCCAGCAAATAGGTATCAAAGATTCTGTACAGCTGGGTTTTGGGGTGAAGGGCACCTTTGGGGGCTTAAATAAATGGACCGGGCAAGGGATGTAGCGAGAAGAGAGGGTGACTGCCTGGCCAGCAGCCTGGGCCTCTGGCACCCCGCATGCTGACCCTCACTGCCGCCTGCCCACTGTGGCCTCGGGACTCCCTGGGTGGGAAGGGAGGGAAGCTCTCCAGCAAGCCTCGGCCCCACCTCTGAGCAGGCAGGACAGGAAGCCAGGCGCCGGGGCAGGGCGGGCCTAGCGCAGGTCCTCCTCATCGCCCTGGATGGTCTTCTTGATGCGCAGCAGCATGGTGGTGAGCCACTGGTCCAGCCGGGAGATGGAGTCATACTCCTTCACCTGCGGGCACACCTGGTGACAGACCAGTCGTGCCCCTCCCTGTCCCCAACCCTGCAGCCCAAGGGCCCGTGTCCCAATATTTTTAAGATCTGTCCCTGTCACCCCTGAGGAGCAGAGGGAGGGCTCGAGGTCCCAACTCAGCCAGGGCAGCTCCCTCTGGTCTTTACTACACCCGGCACAAGGTTTCCCTTGGGGGAGAAAGATGTTGTAGCTTATAAAAATAAAGGTCTACAGAAATAAAAAGTAAAATCTAAATTAATTAATTAATTAAAAAAATAAAATCTGGGCGCAGTGGCTCAAGCCTGTAATCCCAGCACTTTGGGAGGCTGAGGCGGGCGGATCACGAGGTCAAGAGATCGAGACCATCCTGGCCAACATGGTGAAACCTGTCTGTACTAAAAATACAATAATTAGCTGGGTGTGGTGGCAGGCGCCAGTAATCCCAACTACTCGGGAGGCTGAGGGAGGAGAATCTCGGGAGGCAGAGGTTGCAGTGAGCTGAGATTGTGCCACTGCATGTCAGCTGGATGACAGAGCAAGACTCCAACTCAAAAAAAAGAAAAAAAAGATCCAGTATCCTCATTGAATGGGTGGGGAAACCGAGGCCTAGAGATATGGAAAAGGCTACTCCCAAGTGCCATGGGGCACGGAGGAGAGAAGCCACAGCCTGCGGGCCTCCCTCCCTGAGCTCCTGGCTGGGCTGCCACCCCATGTCGGGGGCAGGAGGAACTGAATGGCCTCTGCTCGCTGTCCTCAGTTAGGGGCTCACATTCCCGATGGACACCAGGGGAGAAATGCTTGGCATGTGCCACTAGAGGAGTGAATCAGGACTGGGCAGCATTGAGCCCGGGAGCGGCTCCACCAGGCAGAGGGAAGCTGGCGCCTCTCCCGTGTCCTCAGCTCCACTTTCCTCCTCACCCCTTCCCTCCCCGTCTGTGCTTCCTGGGCACCCAAGGCACCCACTGTGAGAGTTTCTCACACTCGCCTGGGGAACTCAAGAAACCCTGGCCTTCAGGGGCAGAGAGATGTGGCTCTGAACCCCAACTCTGCCTTGAGGGGCCACGGCAGAGCCTCCTGACCTCCCCAACCTCAGTGCCACCATCTATAAAATGGGGAGAATACTCCCTATACCTCTTGGGGCTACTTGTGAGGTTTCTGTGGTGACTGGAGAAAGAAATTCACAGTGGGCTGGGGGCTAGATAAAAATGGGTGATTTTCAGGGGACAGCATGTCTGAGAAGGGTAGCTTCCCTAGGGGACCCATCCCTGTGAAGGGGCCTGGCCCCCTACGCTGGCCACTCACAGATTCGGTGTAGCTGTCCACATTCTGTTCCTCGTGGGCCTCTAGCAATTTCTGTAAGCAAATGGCAGAGAGGGGTCAGGGGCCCAGGCTGACCTGAGGTCGGGCCTGGATTAGATCAAGCCCATACTATCTGTATACCAGGCCTGGGGCTAGTGCTTCCTGAGGACTCTGAGAGGGTTGGTCGGTGTCGGTGTGGGTACAGGTGTGTTGCGTAGGGATGTTTTGCAATCCTGCTGCCCTACTCATCACAAACGGCTAGCTCTTGGGGTAACCTTACCGACACGGAGTATCACACAGTGTGTGTGTGTGTGTGTGTGTGTGTGTGTGTGTGTGTATGTGGTATATATGTGGTGGAGGTGTGTGGGTGTGTGTGGTGTGTTTTGGGGTGTTTGGTTGTGTGTGTGGATATGTGTGGTATGTGCGTAGTGTGTGTGGCATGGATATGTGTGGTATGTGCGTAGTGTGTGTGGCATGTTTGGTATGTGTGTGGCGTTTGCTGTGTTTAGTGTGTGTGTGTGGTGCGTTTGGTGTGTGTGTGATGTGTGTATGGTGTGTTTGGTGTGTGGTGGGTGTAGTGTGTGGTACATGTTTGGTGTGGAATGTGTGTTGTGGGGGTATGTGTGGTATGTTTGGTGTGTGTGGTATGTATGGTGTGTGTGGTGTGCATGTCATGTGTGGTGTGTGTGTGGTGTGCATGTCATGTGTGGTGTGTGTGTGGGGTGCATGTCATGTGTGGTGTGTGTGTGGGGTGCATGTCATGTGTGGTGTGCATGTCATGTGTGGTGTGTGTGTGTGGTGTGCATGTCATGTGTGGTGTGTGTGTGGGGTGCATGTCATGTGTGGTGTGTGTGTGGGGTGCATGTCATGTGTGGTGTGTGTGTGGGGTGCATGTCATGTGTGGTGTGCATGTCATGTGTGGTGTGTGTGTGTGGTGTGCATGTCATGTGTGGTGTGTGTGTGGGGTGCATGTCATGTGTGGTGTGTGTGGTGTATGTGTGGTGTGCATGTCATGTGTGGTGTGTGTCCACCCAGCCCACCCCGGGCTCTAACACTCCCCAAGTTGTACTTTCTTCATCTGGAAAATGGAGACTCAACTGGCCAAAGAAAACAACACAAAGACACCCTCTGAGAACCACTGGACAGGCCTCGGTGACTGTCCCACGTGAACCCTGGCCACCCGCATCTGGTTTGAGAAGTGGGAGGCTGGAGCACTCAGCACTTACTTTCACCAACTTGCATTCCCGGGAATCAGAGAAAGCTGGGAACAGCTCCTCATACTTCTGCACAGCCAGCTGGACAGCAGGGAGGGAGGAGGGCGAGTCAGTCATGAGAGGGCCCTCAGAGCTGCTGGCCTGGCAGCCGAGAGGACCTGGGGATGGCTGGTGATACTGAGTCAGCGCTGCACGCCCCTCCCCAAGCCTCAGGTGTCACCTGGCTCTGTGCCTGTCAGTACCTCCCCGGAGCTGAGCTCAGCACCATCCTGGCTGCAGAGAGTGGTGGGTGGAGGGGGAAGGTTCCCCAGGCAGGTACCCACTGCCTCCTCCCACCTGGCTCAGCTGGGGCAGCAGGCAAATGAGCACATCCTCCATGCCAGGCCCGGGGCTGGTGCTTCCTGAGGACTCTGAGAGGGTCAAATAACGATGAGCACCCTTTTTAAAGGGAGGAAACAGATCCAGAGGGGCAGTGACGTGCCCAGGGCACGGTGAGACATAGGGTGGGGATGTGAACCTGGTCTGGCAAAGCCCAGGCTGGTGGCCACAGCAGAGCAGGGCTCGGAAGGGCTGTGAGGCAGGGGCTGGGCAGCCAGGGGGACCAGGAAATCCTGGGCTCTGTGCTCCTGCCAGGCAATGGTGGGAAAACTCCAGCCAAGCAAAGTCTAGTGCCAACCCTCTGGCTCCTTCCTGCTGGCCATGCCCTCGACCCACTGCCCTCTCTGGCCCCTTTTGCCAAGTGCCCTGAAAACAGGCGGGCATGTGAGCTCCAGTTAAAGGCATTACAGCGGCAGTCACGAAGCTCTGGAACGTTGAGCTGCAGGTCCCTACGCACATGGCCTCAAACTCTCGTCCCAGCCTCAGCATCTTCACCCATAAAATGAGGTGACAATGGTGCTGACTTTATGGGGTGCAGTGAGGATTCAAACAGTGTACCCACGAAGGAAAGAGCACAGTAAGGCAGGAGCTAGACCCGCAAGAGCCTCCAGGACCAGCGGCAGGTGACGCCAGCACAGAAACACAGCGGTGAGAACCACACTCCTCCTCCAAAGGCCAGCTGGCAGGGGCCAGGCGTGAGGGACGAGCACACCCCCTCTGGCCTGGTGATAGGCACATGGTGGCCTGGCCGGCGCGGGGCGCACTACCTTGGCGTTGAGCATGTCGATGCAGAAATGGCAGAGGGCCGCCTTGAAGAAGTAGTCTTTGGCACTGTACTTGAGGAGGGGGCTGTCCATGGCGCTGGTCCCCACCTGCAGCCATGAAGTAGCACTGTGAGCTCAGGGCAAGCAGCCAGAGGGCCAGGGCCACTGCCAAGCACCGGGAGCCAGCTGGGAGCTGGGTCTGTGTCCTGGGGTGAGGGCCTGTGAACCCAGGACCCTAATGGCAGGGAGCCAGGAACCAGCTTGGGGAGGTCAGTGGCCAGTGCGTGAGCAGCCAAGATCAGGGCATGACGGTGGCTGAGACTGTAGCCAGGTGTCCGTGGGCCTCCCGAGAGCCTGAGACAGTGGGGAGGAGGCAGTCTGGCTGTCAGGACCAACGGGAGGCTGGCACAGCGGTGGGCAGAGGGGTGGCAGGCGGCGGGAACATGAGAGGCGGTGCCCGCCCCTCTCTCCCCCGGGGCCAGCTGCCTGCCTGTTTCTCGGCCATCACCCAGGGCTGTGTGCACACTGCAAGGAGCCCATGTGACACTCCCTCCCGCTCACTGTGGATGAGGACCGTTGTGTCATGGGGTAGGGTGCCCACAGGCACCCCGGGCCCCTTGGCAATTCTTTCCGTTCTCTCTTTGACTCTGTTCTTGGCCAGCCTCACTCTGGATCCCTCCAGGAAACTCTGCATGGGGTGTGGGAGGGGCACAGCCAGGGAGAGGGTGCCAGCATGGCATAGGGTCATAGGTGGAGAACATTCAGCCAGGCTGAGGATGGGGTTGAGGGGATCGGGAGAGGCAGAGGGCGAGCTGGGGGAGGGGTGGTTCCAAAACAAGGTGCTGGTTCCTAGGAGGAGGCACATGTCCTGAGAGCGGGCAGGGTCGCCATCTGTTCCCCACCTGTTCGTAGATGTCAATGGCCTTCTGATACTGCTCCAGCTGCGCGGCGTAGCCAGCCACCTTCAGCAGACACTTGTTGGCTGAGCTGTGTGGGGAGGAGGAGTGAGGGAAGTGGTGGTGGTCCCTGCGGGGAGGGGCAGGCAGGAAGGGGGCTACCTGTTGGACTCCTCGCCTTTGTAGTAGTCTGCGGACTGCTCATAGTGGGCGATGGCCTGGGGAGACACGGGGGCAGGTTTCAGAGCTGAGCAGCGGTGGGAGAGGAGGCCTCATGCAGCTTCTACACCCTCCGCCCTGCCTGCCTGGGACACAGCCAGACCCCTTTACCTGACCTCTGCCGGTCCCCCACCCTCTCTTCTCAGCACTCAGACACCAGAGGAGTCCCCTGGTGGGAAGAAGACAGAGCCGCGCTGGTCCTGGCTGCCAGCCCAGGCAGGGCCCTGCTGCCACTCACCTTCTCAATGTCCACCAGCTCCGTCTCATAGATCTCAGCAATGGAGATGTGGTGCTTGGCCGCAATCGTGAATCGGCCCTAGAGGGAACACGGGAAGGGGCTGCCTGTGCCTGGTGAGCTCTTGCATGCCTGGCCCTGCACCCCTGCTGACCCATGACCCTTCAGGTTCCCACCCCTCAGCCACGCCTTCGAGGAGACATGAAGAAGACACTGAGAGGGGGGGACACGGGTGAGAACGGAGGGCCCCAGCACTCCTGGTTGTGCGTGCTGGGCTGAGCAGGTGACCTTGGGCAAGCCACTCCAGGGCCTCCGCCTAATTCTATCCGACCCACGGGGGCACAGATGGTGTGATACCAGAGAGGATGTGAGCACGAGCACTTGGCTGAGGCCCTGGCCCTGAGGAAGCATCTGATAGAGAGGCCAGAGAGGCAGAAGGACCAGCCCAGAATCACTTGGCAAAAGGCTCTGGAGAAACCAGGATGGGAGGGAGGGCTTGAGACCCCTGCCAAGAGCACCAGCTCTGCCCCCAGGCCAACAGCCACCTGTCAGCCTCCTCCATGCACACCCAGAGCTCCCCAGGGAGGCCTCAGGTTCCAGCCCATGCACCTTCCATCCGCCTCTGCCCAGCAACCAGGTGCCCGCCCGGCTGGCCCAACGCCACCCGCTGGTGCAGAGGAAAGGGCAAGGCCCTGGGCTCAGCCAGACCAGCTTTGGTCTCGGCGACTCCTGCCTGTAGCCCCGTGTCCCTAGGCAAGTTGTGTCACTAGTCTGACCCCCTCTTCCGATATACAACGGGGCTGTGGATTAACCACCTGCAGTGTCAGGCCTAACAAACGGCAGCTGCTATTACTGTTCCAGTCAGGCATCCCTGCAGCACTGCCCTGAACACAAGGGGGCAGGGCTCATGCCCCTGCCTGGGGTTGGAGGGCTGAGACAGACGGGGCAAGTGGAGAGGCAAAAAGGAAGGAGCCGGCCAGGCACGATGGCTCATGCCTACAATCCCAGGATTCTGGGAGTCTGAGGCGGGTGGATCACCTGGGGTCAGAAGTTTAAGACCATCCTGGCCAACATGGGGAAAACCCCTCTCTATGAAAAATACAACATTAACCGGGTGTGGTGGCTCGTGCCTGTAATCCCAGCTATTCAGGAGGCTGAGGCACAAGAATCGCTTGAATCCCGGAGGTGGAGGTTGCTGTGAGTGGAGATCGCACCACTGCACTCCAGCATGAATGACAGAGAGACCGTCCTCTGTCTCAAAAAAACAAAGAACAAAAAAAGGGAAAGCACTGGAAGAAGCCCCACCCTGGGTGGGCCTTCACCCTGGCTCTGCCTGGCAGCTGCCCCTCTGTTCTGCATCTGTCATTGGCAAAGCCCCCTGGGGCAGGGCAAGTGCTGAGTCTCCTGTGGGCTCTGCCCACCCCTCTGGCCTGCTGCAAGATGCTAATCAAATGTGACACTTGTGGGAAGGCTGGGCAAGGTAAAGTGCTGGACACTCCCTCTACAGTAACCTAACTTCTTTTTTTGTTTTGAGACAAAACGCCCATGCTGGAGTGCAGTGGTGTGATCACAACTCACTGCAGCCTTAACTTCCTGGGCTCAGGTGATTTTCCTGCCTCAACCTCCCAAGAACTAGAACCGCAGTGCATGTCACTACACCAGCTAATTTTTTGTAGAGACGTGGTCTTGCTCTGTTGCCCTGGCTGGTCTTGAACTCCTGTGCCCGAAAGATCCTCCCACCTCAGCCTCCCAAAGTGCTAGGATTATAGGCCTGAGCCACTGTGCCCAGCTCAATAACCTAAGTTCTATGAATGAAAACCATGACTGCCTGTGGAGGGCTGGAGGCAAGGTGTGTGGAGAGAGGGGCCATCAGGCTGGTGGGGAGCTAGGTGAAGACCCAGCCGGCCCAGGCCAGCCCAGGTGACCCAATGCCCCCAGCTCCCACTTCCCTCTCCCCAACTGGTTTTGGCCACAGAATAAGAACAGTACTGGGGGTGCTGAAGGTGAGGACACAGGCTGGAGCAATGCAGCAAGACCTCTGGGGCGGGCGGGCATCAGGACAAGCAAGCAGCCCTTACCATGTCTGTGTAGATCTCGATCGCTCGCATCAAACAGTTAATGGCCTCTGGAGGGAGAAAGGGAGGTGGGAAGAGAAATGAGAAAGTGAAGTCGTTTGAGCAGAAGCCGAGGAGAGGAGGCGGACGCAGGCGCGCCTGGCTGCCGGCAGAGAGATCAATAGGCACTCAGAACTGCCAGGGCTGCCGCACACTCTCCAGGGGCTGGAAGGAAGGGACGGAATTCCTGAGCCCAGCAAACCTGGTGAGAGCTGACTCTGCAGGCTGTGACTTGCTGGGCACACGAGATCGGGGGAGCCCTTCTCCCCTCGTTCTGCCAGGATGCTGCCAGCTTCCCAGAACCCCAGGGACAGGGCACAGCAGTGCCGGGCTGGGCTGATGGCCAGACTCTCACGGATGTTTTAAGCCAGACCTTCTAAGGCCCTGCTCTTGAAGAACTGAGCTGCTGGCAAAGGGGAAGGGGGCATGGGAGGTGGCCAAGCCCAACATCTGAGGTGGTCCTGGTGGCAGCAGGGATGCCCAGGTTCTCCCTGGGCTCTGCCAGCATCGCTGCAGGACCTTGAGCAGCTCTGTCCCTGCACCAGGAGGAGCTGGACCTCTGGCATGAGGCTGGATGCCGTGAGCACCGAGACCCGGGTGCACTCTCCACCGCCCCTCTTCCTCGTATCTTGGCAGTTGGGAACCCTCTGCTCTCTGTCCCTTTAACCTGGCCCTGCCACCCACCAGCTCCTCAAAGGTTTTGCCAAAGAGCCTGACTGAACACACCAGAATGGCACTGAGGAAGAACTGGGCTCTGTTGTACTACCTCTTGCAAGGTTTTAAATTTCGGGAAGGCTTTTTTTTTTGACAAGTTATTTGGAGGAGGGAGAAAAGCATGAGTGGGAGGCATTTTCTAGCTGGCAGAAATGAGCTCTCAAGGGGTATTTTTTAAAAACCCCATCTTAGTGCATCTCAGGAGGACGGGGTGTTGCAGGGAGGGAGGCCTGGGGTGGGAGAAGGAAAGGCAGGGAGCCTTGGCAGGCCACAGGGCGTGGGCTCTGAGCTGCAGCCTGAGCATCTGAAAGTTCCTGGTCACCGTGGGGGCCTCCATGTCACCCAGGCTGTATTCGCCTGGGACAAGGGTGCTTCCAAGAACCCACGGACCTGGGCTTGCTCTCAAGGGGCTCACAGTCTGGATGGGACTCCAACTCCTCTCCGTGAGGAGGCATCTGAACAAAGGCTCTTAGCCTCAGTCAGGCCTATGGTTGGGCTTTCAGGAGTCCAGCCCCTACTTCCGACATATCAAGAGTGGGGCCCATAAGCGCTCCTCTGGGTGCCCCAGAGGTCTGGAGATTCTGTCCAACTCAGAAAGACCCGTGGGGATCCGAAAGGGATTGAGAGAATGCACACCACTCAGTCCAGGTTCCCCACCTGACAGATAGAGCCTGTGGCCGCAGAAAGAGGAAAAACAAGGAAAAAAGGGGGCAAAAAGGGGCAGACGAGAGAACACAGCCTACACCCGGCAGTTTGAAGACACACGCATTCTGTCATGGGTGGGCCCAGAAGCAACAGCTGAGCCGAGCCAGAGGAGAGTAGCAGCTGGAGTGAGGTGAGCAGCCTGACCTGGCCCGCCCCGCCCTGCCCTGCCCTGCCCTGCCCTGCCCCACCTGGCTGCAGACTCTACTTGGCGCCCTTGGGCTGCTCACTGGTTCCCTGTCCTGGGCAGAACACCCAGGACACCAACCTGGCTCCCTGCGGGCTGAGGCGGCAAAGGCTGCTCTCACTCCACAGTGAGACCCACAGCTGCCACGTGGGCCTGCTGGCAGTGGCTGTGGAGCGCCCACCGTCAGCATGGCTCAGCCCTTGCAGTAGCAGCAGGGAGACAGCTTATCCCCGGCAGCAACATGGACTCACAGGGCTAAGTCCCCTCCACGCCTGGAAAGCAGCAGTCTGCCAGAGACACCCGGGCCAGCTGGCTCCTGGACAAGCTGCTGACACACACGACTGCTGCTCTTATCTCGGGTCACCAGACCTTGGGCATCCCGAGAGGCGGAGCAACACCCAGCTCCATGACCCGGCCCTCCTCCACCCACCCACAGAGGGCTGGAAAGGGGCTTGGCGCAATCCAGCCCAAGTGGGGGAGCTGCAGCCCAGGCCAGCCCCATCCCCACAGACACTGCACCAGCAATGCCCAGCTTGACTTCTGCCTCTCTCAAGTTCCCCCCGTCACACCTGGCTGTCTCCTCCTCAGTAAAATGGGGGCAAATCACAGAATTGCACAAATAAATCAAATGGGTTCAAAGATGCCAAGCATCTGGCACACAGTAGGAACCCAGTAAACGGCAGCTAGGGAGGAAGTGGGGGACAAGCAGGGGCCAGGCCCCTTCCCTGCCCCAGGTACACACACTGGCCCCAGCCCCAGCTATCAGGCAGACCCCGGTAGAGGCGTCCCTGGCCCGAGTCTGCCCTGAGCAGCAGTGGTGGTTGGGTAATTGAGGAACCAATGACACATATGGGCATCACCCTTCCCCACCCAGAGCCATCAAGGAGGCAGCAGGCCACCTCTCTGCAGAAGGAGAAGATGATAGAAGCCCAGCCGGGCCTCAGGAACACTCCAGCTGCCACTTGGGGTGGGGTGGGGGGGTCCTTTGGAGGGACTACTGGAGGAAGTGCTGACCCTGGACAGAGGCCTTCTAGGCTGCTGAGGAGACCAGTGATAAGGAGGGCTCCAGAAGTCAGTCACCTGCTTGGGGAAGCCAGGCGAGGTTCCAAATCGGGCCTTCAGCATTGCCTCACAACGCACTGGCCAAGGGCAGAGACCGTGGGGGCCCAGGGTAGGCAGAGGTCCCTGGACTGATGACAGCCAAGGGTATCCTGACTGGCAGTTTATCACACGCCAGGTGCCGCGCTAGGCATGACTGCCTCACCTCACAGTAGTCTCTGCATTAACAGATGAGGAAACAGAGGCCCAAAAGACTGACTTGCCCAAGACCACAGGGGAGGCAGGTCCTCCGAGACCACCCACCTCGTGTGCTGCTGAGCCACGCACAGCTGCTAGATGACATTCTTTGTGAGGCATTTTTTTGAGATAGGATCTCACTATGTTGTCCCGGCTGGTCTTGAACTCCTGGATTCCTTCTCAGCCTCCCAAAGCACTGAAATTCTAGGCATGAGCCACGTGCCTGGCCTTCTGTGAGGACTGACTGGCCTCAGACACAAAGCAGCTGCTGCCCTTCATGCCAATGTGCCCTGGGGCATGCATCTTTAGGCTATAGGTCTGGACGCTGTCCCTCCCTGCTCAGCACCACGCCCCTAGGGCTCCGGACATGGAACCTGCTCTCAGCTCTACCCAGGGGAGGTTCTCCTGTCAGAACTGCTCCTTTTCTTCCCCAAGAGCTCTCCCCCAGCCAAGCTCACCCGCTCCTCGCCTCAGGTCTGCGCAAGTTGGCCTCTGTGCCCCGATGCGGCATCGTCTTTACACTTTCCTACCCGCTGGAGTCCTTAGCCACCCTCTGAGCTTCCTAATTCCAGAGAAGGGCCACACCCAGACTCCCGGCCCACACACTGTAGAGAGGGCTAGAAAAGCTCAGATCAAATGCAGGGGAGGAAGCTCACCACATCCCACTGGCAGGCAGAGCCTGCTGCAGGAAGGGAGGGGCCTGCTGAAAGAGCAAAGGCGCTCACTGTTCCACAGCCTGGTGCTCAGCGCTGCCCCAGAGCAAGTCCTTCCAGTCACTCCAGATGGGGCAGCAGCTGAACGGCACAGATGCTAAGACAGCGCCTCTAGGCCAGCCAGTTTCCTGGGGAGCAGAAGGAAAGGCTTGGCAGGGCAGCTTAATGGAAGACACGGAGACTCCCCGGGTAAGTCAAGCTTACAACCAACCCAGGGTCTCCCGGGGTCGTCACTGCATCATCCATGCAGCCTGCTGTGGCCCAGTGCTGCCAGCCAGGTCAGCTCTATAGCCCACCCAGTTACAAGGCTGCTCCTCAGCCTCTTGCCAGGCCTCAGCCCCACCGTGTGATCACTGAGGCCAATTCGTGAGATGCCCAGCTGGTGGGGAACCACTGGCCAGTCTAAGGACAGAGAAGAGCTACTGGTCAACACACAAATCCATCCTTGTCTGGAAACTCACACCCCAGACCACGACAAAGGGGTATGCACACAGTTCCCCAACACGGCGTGTGAACCGGGGCTTACTGATCCGTGGAGAAAACTCCCTGCACTGCTGTAAACCCATCTTCTCTTGGAAAGGATAGGCCTTTATTCCAAGATTACATGGCTCCTTTTCGTTATTGTGATTATGATTATTATTATCAGCATTATTTGAGCGACGGGGGTCTCACTATATTGCCCAGGCTGGAGTGCAGTAGCTATTCACAGGCGCGATCCCACTACTGATCAGCACAGGAGTTTTGACCTGCTCTGTTTCCGACCTGGGCTGGTTGACCCCTGCTCCTTAGGCAACCTGGTGGTCCCCCGCTCCTGGGAGGTCACCATATTGATGCTGAAATTAGTGCGGACACCCGAACTGCACAGCACACTAAAGCCCAGAACTCCTGGGCTCAAGCAATCCTCCCACCTCAGCCTCCCGAGTAGCTGGGTCTACAGACATGCGCCACCCTTTTGATTACTGCCCGACACTTTTGATTATTTTTAAAGATTCATATATTTTCCATTCTCCTGAGAGGACAGTGACAGTATACAGTCATTTTTACAAACTGCCTGTGCTTGCTAATTAGCAACCTGTACCCACCAAGATTTTAAAAATACATTAAAATTCCCGCCCCAGGCAATCACTGGGCTGTGTTTCCTCTTCAGGAGGCACCCTGGGGGACAAACACTGTTTTCTCACCATGAGTCAGCCCCAAACTGGGCTTCTGTCCCTAACACACTCTCATTTTAAGTAACTTGTTCTCTGGCAACGACATCTCGGGCTCTGTTCTCTCTACTTCTTCCCCAGGATGTAGGGAAGCCAGGTTGGGCTAATTTCCGCTCCTTTTTCGGCAGCGACTCCTACCTGGCTGGTCTCAGAACTCCCCCCGCTCCCTTCTGCGTGTTAATTCTGACAACAGAACAGATTTTCCTCTCTCCCCGGCAGGCGGTGGGTCTGCAATGGAACTCCCACTCCCGAATGCTCTGGGCGTGGGGAGGGGCAATCAGCTGCACCCACACAGTAGCTGGGGGGGCGGAGACTTCAGCCGCGCGGGAATGCCAACCGGAAGGAAGGGAGCCAGTTCTGAAGTCAGCGCTCTGCTCTGCCTCAGGTGCGTCTCTGCCAGCCTATCACATGTCGGCCACTGGAAAAAACCAGAGCCACCAGGAAACCCGAGGACCCGATGCAGGGTGCTATGATGGCCCTCCGGGCAGCCAGCCCATGTGGCCCGTGGAGGCCCTCACCTTGGGGGTCAGCTTTCTTGAACGCGTTGCCGGCATCCACAAAGCAGGTGGCTGCGTCGTGCTTGCTCTGGAGCTGCAGGTGCAGCTGCGCGGCCTGGCAGAAAGCGTTTCCAGCAGCTGGAACAGAAGAGAAGGGTGGTCCCGGCCTCAGGGGGGGCTCCACAATTTATGAGGCCACAGAGACACGGCCCTGGGAGGTAGGTCGGGCTCTTGAGAATGCAGAAAGAGCCCCCAAGAGAGGACGAGGCTGACTTGAGCGAGCCCTTACTGAGGCCTAGATGTCACGTCTGCTGGCTCCTGGGCTGAGGCTTCTGGTGGCCCACCTGACAGTCTCTGAGGGTACCAGCTGCCTTGAGGGAAGCCCCTCAGCCCCAGAGTGAGAACAGCTAAAATGCCATGTCCCTAAACTCAGCTATGCCAGCATTTCCAGGGCCTCCACTTCTAAAAAGCTCCAAAGCACAGACAGAGCTGAGCTGGAGATTCAACAGAGCCAGGTCGCCTCCTGCACCTTCTGGCTTCGGCCGTCTGCCCAGGGGCACCTCGAAGCACAGGGCCCAGAACCACCACTAGAAGGCAAGTGCAGGCTGAATCATGGGGTGGGTTGGGGAGGGGTGTTCTGGGAAGCAAGGGGCAACTGAGATTCAATCACTAACACCTTCCCATCTACTCCCCTTTCCGAGTCCTGCTTCTTTCTCCACAGCTCCCCAAAGCTCTTCCTGTCAAATTCTCCCAACTCCTCTGCCTCTGTTCACATTCTGTTCCCTTCCCTGCAGATCCCCATGGACGAGGCACTTGTGCAAATTGTCAGGCTCATGGAGTTGGGGGCGGACAATACAGAGCCGGCTCCCTCCCTCCAGGAGCTGCATGTCCAGAATGGGAAACAGGATGTGGACACCCAGAATGAATGCATGCAGACCAGTGCCCACGGGCAGAGGGCAGAAGAGACCACGCCTGGAGCCTCGTGTGTCCTGTGCTCCTCTGCACACGGTCAGCGTCCGTGGGTCCCAAGCCACTCTGCCCTCACACCTCCTAAATTGACGTTTGGGAGGCAACAGCATCTCTCCTCCTCGTGAAGCTCCGACCACCCCCAGCTCGGTTCTGAGGCTTCTCCCCTTCGTTCTCCTCCAGCTGAATCTGAGTCAGAGGTTCTGAGGTGGAAGAGGACCAGGCGGCCTCACCCCATCCTCTTAAGTTTCAAGCAGCAGAAGAAACAAAGCCTTCCATGTTTTCACTACATGATTTCATTATTACTTTTAAGAGCTCCAAATCTGAGTATAAAATTAAAAAAAAAAAGGGGGGGATAGTATCAGGGGGAAAATGGCCTAGGGCTTTTCTTCCAAGAGTAGGGCAGCAGGGGTAACAAATTTTGAGGGAAAAGCAACACCTGTGTAATTAAAAAGTAAGCATTTCTTCTCTAGAGGAGTTTTCCTAGTTTGAGAGCATAAAAATACACAGAACATTTGGCTTCATCCACAAGGTATTCTGTGCAAACTCAGGAAAAACTCTTTGAATTTTTGGGAAACCAACAACATTCTCAAAAGCGATGAGCATCAGTTTCACCGTGCACCTCTGCGCCCTGCCTCCAGGGTCCCGCCATTAGACTCCCTTTCCGCTGTGGGCAGGAAGCTCCTCCCTGCGTTCTAACACTGGGTCTCTTGCTGTATTTCCTTAACTCAATCTTGGTGACATGCAAGACGTATTATGAAATGAGCCTCCAATGGGCTCAATGCACTGGCTTGTTGGACTTCTTGGGCGTGCAGGGAGCCCCAAACAGATCCCCAGCGTCTCTGAGCTCAAAGGGCTCCTCCCACCCCTCTCCTCTGTGAAGCTCTCCTGCCTCACTGGGGCAGGCCAAACACTCAGGCTCTGCAGTCAGAGCCTTGGTTTCTGAATCCTGGTTCTGTCACTTACTAGTCCTGGTACCCTGGACGAGAGACTAAGCCAAGCCTCAGTTTCCAATTCTGTAAAATGGGGATATTAACAGACCAACCCTTAGGGTGAGAATGCAGTTACATGATGAGCACTCAGTAGTCGGTAAACAGCAGCCGTGATTCATGTTGTTACTGGAAGCACTTGAACCTTTCCTGCAGCCTGGAATTCAGACGCTGATGGAGGCACTAAGGAAGTTCCCAGGAAGCCTGAGGTTCTGAATTTAGGGAGGACTCTGTCTATGAGCTCAGCAATCCACACGGGTTTATCTAGGTCTAACAATCTATTTATTCCCATCCTCTTTGTTCTTTCTTCAAGGCCCCGTGACCCTGAGTATAAAGTAACCCAGCAGGCACAAAACAGCTAGAGAGCAGGCCCTCGGTAACAGAGAAGTGGCCCTGAAGGGCAGGCCTCTGGGAGTGGAAGCGGAGGGAAGAGGAGAGCCCCTCGCAGGAGCGCTAGCGGAGATCACATACCACTCCAGTTTTTGGCCATTTTGAACATGTTTGCTGCTCTGGCGTAGATTTCACATGCTTCCTCTATTTTGGATGAGCCTCTGGGGAAAAAGGAAAGAAAAAAAGGAGACAATCTAGTCTGGTATCCAGGAGAAAGCAAGAAATCTGCTCCAGTGCCAGTGGAGACCCGGCCCCCACCCCTCACCCTTCCCCTATGAGGGCCCCACCCCTCAGGTGTCTGTGGCCCCCACCCCTGCATACAATGGCACACTCAATTCAGGCACACTGGCTCCCTCCAGGAGGAAAACTAGGTACTCACTGAGGGGTGTGGAGCGAAGAGTTCCTGACCCCACCACAAGCCCAGCCTCTGACAGCCTCCTCTACTTCCTGCCTGGATGCTGGAGGCCCACTGGGTCCCTGGTGCTCTACAAATCCCCTTTCCCCGGAGACTGCAAAGCATTCTGGGGGATTAGCCCAGTTTAAGACATCGAGTTGCTTCCGCAGAGAGCCTCAATCCCATGCCTCGTGCTCTGTGGCTGTTCAATGAAGACTGCAGCCCTAGAGTGTGTCATTACCAATTCAGGGCTGGGCATGCATATGACACAGCCATACATATACATTTTCTATCTACTATTTTCAAATGTAGATGGGAAATGTTTCCATAGAAAATGTTCCCATTTGTGTGTGTGTGTTTTTTTTTTTTAAGAAAAAAAAAAAAAGAGGGTGGGCTGGGTGCGGTGGCTCATGGCTCCTGTAATCCCAACACTTTGGGAGGCCAAGGTGGGTGGATCGCTTGAGCTCATGAGTTCGAGACCAGCCTGGGCAACACAGTAAAACCCCATCTCTACAAAACATTATCAAGGTGTGATGCTGTACACCTGTAGTCCCAGCTACTGGAGAGGCCAATGTGGGGGGATCACTTGAGCCTGGGATGTGGAGGCTGCTGTGAGCCAAGATCGACCTCTGCACTCCAGCCTGGACGACAGAGCCAGACCTTGCCTCAAAAAAAAAAAAAAAAAAAAAAAAAAAAAGAGGGTGAGAAGAATAGCAACATGCATGTTTACATAAACATAGGATATTTCTGGGCAAATACATAAAAACCTAGCAACAGCATTTTTCTTTAAGGTAGAGCCTGGAGAAGGAGGGCCAGCTGTGGGAGGCAGCCTTATTCACTGGGCATTTTGAGTATGTACTGCATTTTTTCCCCATTTGCATATCTTATCAATTAAAAAAAATATATATATATATATACACATACATATTTTTAAATGTTAGGATTTCTATTTGGCCCTGTGGTCCAGCAATGAATTACATTTCTCGCAATCTATCCTAAAAAACTAATCAGAAAAGTTACAAGCATGTTCAGCACAGCCTTACTCAAAACAGCAAAGCCCCCAAACACTTACTGTCCAACAGTAAGGATGTACTGGAGCTAGACAGGAATTTAAAATCATAAAGGACACCCTGTTTGGGCAGCTTCATCGTGGCTTCTCGACCTCCACGTGTACATAATGAACCTCCTCCTGACTTGGGGGACCCCATTAGTACCTCAAACCCGTAAGTCCCACTGCCTCCTTCTGCCCTCAACAATACAACCAGGCTTAGCCCACAAGGTCTGTGGTCTCTAACTGCTCAAACTCCCATCATCCACATGATCAGCAGAATAAAATCCACACACTCATGAGTCCCACCAAATGGATTTCAGACTCTCTCTTCACTCATATGACTAGTGTTTAGCCTATTTTTTAGGGAAGAGAAAAGGGAGGGGTGGGCATTTTCCAGTGAAAAGCCACACAAATCGTCCTCACCATCCGTTCCACATCCCGTGTCAACTGGCCCAACATTATACCTGTAAACTTGTCCACACCAACCACAGCTGTGGAGGGCGCAAAGGTAATTTTGGGAGCTGGGACGTGAGCATTCATTCCTTCCCTCTGCACTGCGGGTTCAGTGTGTCCAACCTGCCCATCCCTTTGAACCACACGAAGTGCTCATTTTATCAGACCAGAGCCCCACAGCCACACTCACTGGGATTTGTTCAGTAGGTGTGGGTGGGGCCTGCAATTGAGATTTTTAACAATTGGGGTTTGGGGGGTCCCTGGTAACTCAGCTAATCAGGTTAGTTTGAGAAGGAAAAACTGACTGAGACTGACCCCCTGGAAAGCAGCCACCAGTGACCAGTGGACAGGCCTGGCATTGTCAGCAAGCAAATGCCCCTGGGGTGGGTGGGCGGGCTGGGACAGGGATGGGGACTCCCGAATCCACATCATGCCAGGTAAGGTTCTGGCCTACCCTGTGCCTTCCAGGGCTGTGCTGTCCCGCACCCTCTGTTGTCCCCGGGAAGTGCCCTGAGCAATGTGTTCTTCCCAAACTCACCCTGCTGTACCCTGTTTTCCCCCACCCACCTCACCCCGGCCAGAAGTTTGGAGGGACTCCTTTTTTTTTTTTTTGTAGATGGAGTTTCACTCCTGTCGCCCAGGCTGGAGTGCAATGGCGCGATCTAGACTCATGGCAACCTCTGCCACCCAGGTTCAAGGGATTCTCCTGCCTCAGCCTCCCAAGTAGCTGGGATTAATGGCATGTGCCACCTTGCCCGGCTAATTTTTGTATTACTAGTAGAGATGGGGTTTCACCATGTTGGCCAGGCTGGTCTCCTACTCCTGACCTCAAGTGATCCACAGCGACCAGCCTGGAGTGTCTTCTTTAGAACCATTCCTGGCCCTGGAGATGTAAGAAACTTTCAAAATCTTCTGGCAGAGAATCCTGAAGGGTCCTGTGGGGTCTGGCTGCAAAAAACCCTCAGGAGGACCTCTCTGGAATGTTCTCTTAAAGGGACATGCTCACAGACCTTAATCACAGGTCTACCCACCCCAGAGGTCCCCCAGCTCAGCCTTCCCTTTGTCGGTGTGACTAAGTCCCATCCAGCTCCATGCACTCTGAAAAAGCTCAGACCCTGGAGGAGCAGAAATGACCCATGTCACTGAGCGGCCCACAGCGGGCCATCAGCAATGAGCAGAGTCAACCCCAGCCAGGTTTATTTCAGTTCAGCGGGACAGAGCAGACACAGGACAGACACAGGGCCTTCCGGCTCCCCGGGCTGAAACTCTATGATCCCAGGCTAAGCACGGGGTCACTGATTCTAACCGTGGGGTGGAAAGGCCAGAGGGATTAGCACCAGCTCAGGCCCCAGGCCAGCCCCTCCTTCCCCTGTACACCGTGGTCTTGCCCACTGCCATGGCCAGGGGATGATGGGAGACCTCCAGAGTCCCATCCTCTTCTTTCAGAATCGGGAGTGAAGTCCCCAAGGAGGAAAGTGATATGCCTAGGTTCCAGTGGAAGACCCTGATGAAGCCATTCACAGATACATTTATTCACCTGGGAACAGGCATCCGAGCATGTATTATGTGCCAGGAGATAACAGCAGTACATGAAAGGAAAAACTAGCTGGGCCTCCTCCCTGAGGGCCTGGGCGGCAGCGCATGTGACAGCTGACTGTCCCTCCCCTACTGACCTCCCCCAAGCCGCCTCTGCTTCAGTCCTCCCATCCCACGGCTCTGAGTCGCTCTGGGAATAGAGGGAACTGGTTTGGGCTGCCTGATGCAGGGCTGTCTATAATTACTCACTCGGCTTTGCTCTCTCCCCCTCCAAGGCGGAGGAAGCAGTCTCAGGTCTCTCAAGCATAGCCACCAACCTCAGCGACTGCCATATGGAAGGCTTGGCGCTGCCAGGAATGCACAGACACCTGGTGGGACCTGGGCCAGGGGGTTCTGCAGGGCAGAGTCTCAGCCCCCATCCTTCCTTCCTCCATCCACCAGGCACTCCTTGGCTGCCAGAAAAGCACCATGCCCTGACCCACCACCTGCAGCTCCCGAAAGAGCTCACCAGGCAGGGTGGACAAAGTCAGGCCCCATTTCAGGTCCTGGATTCATTCTGTCCCTTTTGCCTCGATGGTAGCCACAGCGACAGGCCTACAGCTTCCTCCTCAGCCTTAAGGCCCACTGCCCTGAGTCTCCCGCCAGAGCCCTCAGTGCAGAGTCACATGCATGTGTCTTCCCTGTGAGCCCGCCTTCAGCATAGCTCTCAAGACCACGTCTTCATCACTGCTGGTGTGGAGGGCTCCCGGCCTCCCAGGCACTGTGCCAGGAGGATCCCGGCAGTGCCTCACAAGAGCCCTTTGGGTACTGCCTCTGCTTTACAGGGGAGGAAGCTGGGGCTTGGAGAGGGTGGAGGGCTTGCCCAAGCCTAGTCGGCTGGGAAAGAGGACTGGGGCCCTGGAGATCCAGTCCTGCCCTTGCCTCTCACTCAGTGATCAGGAAGGCTCCCTTCCCCAAGCTCAAGAGTCCTCAGGAAAATGAAGAGAGAGGACAAAGTCCCTGCTGTCCCCACCTCTCCTCTAGATTAAATGAGCCAGGGAGACTGTGCTGCCCAGGCTTCCCTCATCTGACAAGCAGAGGCTGCTCCCTGCTGGAGCTGTGTGGAGCATCCTCTAGGCAAAGGAGAATGAACAAGGCAAGCTCCCTACCCAGCCTGCCGGTAACATGCCAACAGGCAGAAGGAACGTCAGAAAAAGTTAAGGCTGCCCATGGTACAGGGTCTACCCTGGCACAGGGAGCCGGAGGCCACCAGCCCTGCTAGTCTACATCGGAGCTGACTGCATCGGAGCTGCCAGGGCCTGGCATCCTGAAGGCACCGTCACCAGCATCACCTAGAAGCGTTAAACCACCCGCTGCCTCCTGCTGCTCTGCAGTGGGCCTTGCCTGATGGAGCAGGGTATGAGTTCCTGCAGGGCAGGGCCTGGGCCGGCTCTGCTTTCCCATCTCCCCACAGTGCTGACGCAGGCCCTGGGTAACAATGGTGAAAGAATAAAGTGTCGCAGGCTAACTGCCCAGCTCTGAAATCGCCACCAGATCCTCTTGTGACATGTCTGTCTGGGCAAGGACAAGGGGTAGAAAGAGAATGACTCTGGGGTGGAGAGACCTGGGCTGAAGTCCGTTTCAGGTGCTTTGCCCAGTGGCCAACCTGGGGCTAGTAATCCGAGGCTTTTTTTTTTTTTTTCATTAAGAGATGGGGTCTCCCTGCCTTGCCTACGCTGGTCTCAAAC